AGCACAATTGTTACTCTTTGTCCTAGTCTCCATTATAGAAAAAATAACTGTTGAGGATTCCTTGAACACTTGAAGGTTGCTGAAGGATAGCTGATGCAAGAGACTACCACCAAAGAGCCAGAGAAGACAAGCTAAATCCCCTTTCTTGAATTGCTCTTCCCCTCAGCACTAGTCTCTTGTAAAACAGATTTTCTTTATTTATTTTACATGTATGAGTGTTCTGCATGCATGTATGTATTGCACCATGTTCATACAATGCCTGTGAATGCCAGAAGATTCCTTAGAACTCAAGGTATAGACAATTGTGAGCTGCCATGTGTGGATGCTGAATACTGGCCCCAGGTCCTCTGCAAGAGAAGCCAGTGCTATTAACTGCTGAGCCATCACTCCAGTCTCTAAAAGCAGTTAGAGGGACTGTGCAGAACAAAGTTTACTTAGAGGTTAAGGCTAAAAAAATGGTTATGAGCATCTAAGAAATGGTTTCTTTTCTGGGCCACATGAGACCTTCAAGAGGACGTTGTGGAAGAGTCCAGACATTTTCTCCAGAAACTTGCCTTCTCTGAGCCTTTACTAGGAGGCGTTAAGGAACTTGACTCTCATTTCCTGGGGGATAGTGCCAGGTAGTATAGTTTGTTTGCTTTTGCTTTTTGGATCTAATGAAAATTAGGTGTGGGTTTATATAGTTTCAAAAGAATCCATCCTCAAAGATTATGGAATGATGTTATGTAGCTCAAGGGATCCACTGGGAATTACTGTCAGTATCTGCTGACCTCCTGGTGTTTGAGAGGAGGTATGTTTAAATGTTTCTGGAGAATTCACAGATTTTTACCTCATAATATATAAGCACACTCCTAAAGCCACACATATATTTATAAAAAGAACATTTCTATGGTGTATTTGTATAAGGAGTAGTCATTTTGAGTGCTTATTTTTTTGGGTTCCTGTATCACAACTACTTTTTAAATTTTTTTTTTATGTACAGGAATTGTCCACAGAGTCAGTAAATGAAGCTACATAAGTTAGAGTGCTTAACCTGATATGACCACATTTCAGTTGAAAACCTAAATTGTTAATCCAGCCTGGCTCATGCTGTACTTGGGAACTTCAGACAATTTCTGACTGACATACAGAGAATTTTGTGACTGAACTAGATGAAAGAAGGCTGGTCCTGGGACTGTCCATCTTTCCCCAGATGAAGAGGAAGACAATAGAACCCTAAAGAACCTTTTTCTTAAGCCAGTGTGGAAAGTTGGCAGATGTCAAAAGTAGCTAACTTCTAACGGAGCATGCACTCGCAGCTGTGCCCCAGGGAGCACCCAGGCTCACCCTTTCTTTACCACAGGTTTATGGAAGAATCCTTTGCTGTGGGACTAGCAGCATTTCGGTACTGAAAGACAGCCTGAAATCCTCTCCACTCCCTCGTGTTTAGGGTTATTCACTTGTGTGCCTGTGATTTCTTACTATGCCACGTTGGAGTTCAGAACACTCCTTATTGTAGGAGCAGCATAATAAATACTGGTGACAAGTGGTTGGTGGGCAGTCCAGCTCTGTTTCTGGTAGTATGTTTTTATGGGTTCGACTGCAACTGCCTCACTTTGATTGCATGGATTTGTAGGTAGCTATTATTTTAAGAGTTAAAATAGTGTTACCCCTAACAGACCACAAAAGAGGTGGACATGGGAGTGTGGGTTCTGTCCGTGAGTTAAAAGATGTCAGAAACACTGTCACAGTTGCGTGTATTTACTTTCTAAAGGCCATCAATCATTGCATCAACTCAATTTGCATAGAGTTATATAAGCCTTTAGGATTTTACCAAAGAGTTTTAAGCATTGGAATTTCACTTGGACTTTTCTTTCTAAACTAGAAATGTTTGCCTATGTATGCTGTCACATACTTAGTGTCTTCTGTCATTATGCTAACATGCTTTTTCTGGATCAGCATCTGCAAAGAGTATGTGCTTTGACTGAAATCATTTATCACCCCCCTTCCTTTGCTTTTCCAGGGAGCTCAAGGCCTGAGAGGGATCACTGGAGTAGTTGGAGACAAAGGAGAAAAAGTGAGATATCGATGATAAAGGCATCATATAAGAGTGACTTTGCCTCCAGTAGCATCACTTTTTAGTTTATCTTTTATGTGTTTATGTGTTTTTTATAATACCTAATACCATGCATATTTTGTAAGCATCTACCATGACAAGAAAACCATGTGCACTTGTTAAGTATAGAGTCATTCCCCGCCCCCCCAGATATTTTTGGTGGGATTCATGGCATAGAACCCATGGGCATGGGGGAATACTATCTTAGGTAAATTAGAGTAAGTGGGGGTGTAATGTTCTCGCTTTGGCATTATTTGTAGCCAGTGCTCACAGTACTGACACAATACTGGGAGTGTTTCTGGTCCTGCAAGGCAAAGACAAGGGAGGATAGAGAGGGAGAGGTAGGATCCCGAGACCGTGTTAGCTGCTCTGCCTTAAACAGTTGTGGCCACAAGTCACCAGCCTGTCCTTTGCCGGTTTCAGAAGTCAGGTTTTCCTGGCTCTTCCCCCGCAAGGCACCTGCAAGCTCCAAGGACAGTTTGAGGGACAGGCTCACATTAAGTGTCTTACTTTTTTGGAGAGGCAGAGAAGTAGATAAGCAATTATGGTGCAATTTGGGGAAGAAGCAAATCTGAAATCAGGCGGCGCAAGGATGGTGCAGCAAAGCAGTGGCTTAATCTTGGTGTGACATCTGGGAGGGTGGGCCCGTGCCAAAGCTGACTTCAGATGGCAGGAGGAGGAGGTGCGGTGGACGGTGAAGGATGAAGACACACGGCGGCGCTTGGTGGAGTGACTGTCCTGAGGAAAGACCATGGGAACGATTCACAGTATCCTCAGCAATATCGCTTTGGGGGCATGAGTGGGTGGGATTGTATCTAGTGTTTGGGACCAAACCAGTTGCCATTTCTCAGAAAGTTTATTCTGAAAGCCAGTTTGTGGACTACAGAATGTTTAAAAATTTTTGCCCATCAATATTTTCGGACCCTGGTTTGGCTCTCTTTAGAGCCATTTTTGCTAATTTGTATCAGTTCCACACAGCACAGGGATTTTTATTTACGATTAAGTAACAGTAAGATTTCATCGTTGATACACAATAGACCAAATTAAACCCTTTTTTAAGAAGAGTCACAACTCCTGTGAATTACAGGCCTGGCTCGTCTACCACATTTTCCTTACTCTCTCTTTTCACACAAGAGCTTTTCTAGGTATTTCCCTGCCTGTTTTCCTTTCTCCATCTCCTCTAAGGTATTTCTTTTAAACACACACACACACACACAGTACTGAAGTCTTGTGTATTTGTACATCCACACTACCTTAAGTAACATTCTGTGTGCATCTCTCGGTTATTAAGATTTAAAGTCCATCTATTTTGATGCAGCCAACACCCAGGCTATCAGCCCCTCCCCGCCCCAGATTTAACTCACTCCATAAAATAGGTGACCTCTCTTTGAGACCAATTACTGTTCTTGATATGTTCTTTATTTGAGGTATTTCTCTATTTGATATTTTGCAAAAATTTTCATTTCTGTCAAATTGCTTAAAAAAAAGAAGGCTCCCCTTGTGAACACAGATGTGGAATGGTTACCTAGTAACAGCACTTCGGGTCTGAGCTCATGCTGAACTGCAATAAGGTAGATAGAGAGAGAGAGAGAGAGGGAGAGGGTGCATCAAAGCCATTTCTATAATGCAAAAGCTGGGGTGTGCTCTCATAATGCAAGGTGAATGGTGAAGTCAAGGTCTTTTTCAGGTGTTGCTAATCCTTCCTTTTCTGCTGAGTGGAGAATGACTCTGTTCTGTTGTAGTTTTTAGTGATCAAAGAATTTCAGGGCTCTGTGGTACCTCTGCTTCCATAGTGTTTTTTTTTTTTTTTTTTTTTTTTTCTCTTTGAGTCCACCTGTGTGTGAACTTCCTATCAAATGCTTTCGAGTTTTTCGTTCTTACCAGGTCCACCTGGTTTTGCTGGCCTGACATCTATCCAATGCTCTTTGACTGCTTTCCACTTCTTTTTATGCCCTCCTCATTTCATCTACTTCATTAGGAGACCGTCCATCTGTCCGTCTGCTCCACTCATCCTTCCGCTTTTCCTCATTCACTTTGTACATGGGAGGAACACCTCCAGATGGAGCATGTATTTTGCCAAGGAGAATATGTAGTGAGCACAAAACCCACCGTAGTTTTGTTTTCAAAAGAAAACCACCTTCCGATTCTAATGAAGAAAACAGAGATGGTATCTAGTCTGTAGCCAAGTCCAAGGTCCTTTGCAGCGGACTAGACTTGAAAAATGGAGACACTTCCTCTGTCATCATGTTATAGGGTGGACCTATCTGGAGAAAATAGGTTGATTACTATATATAAAGTGAATATCAGTCCAGGAGTAGGGATGTTTCGATTCCTCTAAGAGCCGAACAGTCCCCTCTTCTGAATCATATAGGCATGTGATTTACTTATCTTCTAGATCAGGGATGGGGTGGTGGTTTCTAGAGTCATTGAAGTCTTTCTTACATCTGTGGCACTGCAGAGTCCGCTGTAGCTACCCCCAAATTCACACTCACCTTGAGGCTCTAAGACCTCCAGCGTTAGTTAGTGAATTCCCATAGATACTCAGAGCCTTTTGAGGCTGACTGCTAAATCTTGTTCAGTAGGTCTACTAAGTTCTCTGAATGAGAACCAGTTTTCAGTTCATGTCAGCAGTTGAGTATAGAGCCACCATTAACTTAAAATGTCCAGAGTGGTATCCAAGATTGTCCCAAGTGCTGTTGGCATGATGAGCAGTCCACACGAGTGGTACCATGTCAAGCTTCTTATGAGTTACTCCTCAGCGTTCATTCACAAATATAGTACACACTAAAAACAGAAAGCCTCCTGTTATTCTGGCTAGAATACTTCTTTAGAAAGATGCTGATGCTGATGATGCCCTTTAACATGCGTGATTGATCTGAATTTTATTTCTTTGTCTTGTTTTCAGGGTGCCCGAGGATTTGATGGAGAGCCTGGGCCTCAGGGCATTCCAGGTCCAGCTGTAAGTAGTTTTTCTTTCACAAAAAAACAGCAACAGCTTTTTTTTTTAACCCAATGATACTCTTCCCTCTTTTCCCCTCTCCTACTGCCCCCTCTTCTCTCCTTCCCTCCCTTTCCCTCTCCTTTATTCTGATATATCATCTTGCTATGTAGCCCTGGCTGGCCTTAGGCTAGCAATGATCCTCTGGTCTCAACCTCCCAAATGCTGGGGTTACAAATGAACACTATCACATTCAACCAAAACACATTTCTAATTTACCCCACTTTTCTTTCTTTTTCCCTTTTTCTTTTTGTTATCCATAGGGATATATACAAATAGCTTATACATGTAAATAATTAAAATGGAAAAATAGAAGCCAGGTCTGGTCGTGCAGGCCTGTAATTGCAGTTACTCGGGAGGCAGAGGTAGAGGAACCCCAAATTCAAGGCATGGTTGGACTACAGAGTGAGTTCAAGGCTAGTCTGCCCAACTTAGTGAGACCCTGCCATAAAATAGAAAGAGGGCTGGAGACATAGTTCAGTGGCAGAGTGCTTTCCCAACATGTGAAAGACTCTAGGCTCAATCCCCAGTGCCAATAAATAAATAGAAAAATGGGCAAAGGCTTTCATATTTATTTAAAAATGACAATCTTTCTTCTGGGTGCAGAGAACTAGTTCCCTGGTTTTCTTAGGGAGTATGCCTTGTGGCTACCTGTTTCTGTGACTGTACCTTCCTTTTGCTTTGGTGGTTAGGGTACTTTGATTGACAGCGGCGACCATGTTCCTGGGTCCTAGACAGCTCTACCTTTTCCTCTTTGATGGTTTTCGGATCTCACTGTTCCACACTTTGACGACCATGCACTCATGTATCATTGTTTAGACTTCCTCACACCTTTCTGAAGATGTCACAGATAAAAAAAAATCATTATTACTCATTTATACCACAAAAAGGTAGACATTACACAAGTCAAACAAAATTTCTCACTATTAACGTACAGTGGGGAGGACAGAATGTGGCTCGTTGATGAGCTAAAAGATCCAGTACTTGACCTGGGACAGAGGCAATTCGTGAGAGGAAGATTGCTCTGGAAAAGCCCTTCTGGGAAAGGAAGCAAAGTGCAGGGAGTGCTGTGGTGATGTGGTTTGTGTTATCACAGGGCTCCTGATGCCTAGATGAAAGGTGTGTGTTGAGAAGATGAGCCTGAATGGATCAAGTAGAAATGCATTATAGGCGATGTCTAAGCAAATAGAAATGTATTGTAGGTGGTGCCTAAATACCAAGCTGAGCAGTCTGAGCTGAGAAATGGCAACAGAGAGCCAGGTTAAGCTTGGAGTTGTTAAACAATTAAAAAAAACCTGTATTTTGAGAAAGACATCTCATCTATTGCTACATATAGCATGCATCATTCGATGGACATTCTTTGCATAAACTATTATTTTTGAAGTGGGAACTAAATGGCAAAGAAAATATAGATGTCTAATCCATCCCTCAGCCTACTATAACAAGCAATGAGATTAGCTTCTACGTAGAAATAGTGAACAATGTTGTTGCTTTTAAGGTGCAATTCAATCTATTTCACATGGACATCCAGAGCACAGAACAATTATGCACCTAAAATGAAAATAAAAGGCATACAACCTCAGTTATCCCTATGGCAATATCAATGATCAAGACTATAATTTTTACAAGATTGTTTTGAACTGAGCATTTGCGATAGATCAGAGTCATTTTGGACAAAGAACAACAGTTACTCAATAGCGGCTGGAGAGATGGCTTAGTGGTTTAGAACCCTGGTTCATTTCCCGGCACCCACATGGCAGCTCAAAACCATCTCTAACTCACTTCTAGGGGATCTGATACCAGCTTCTGGCCTCCTCAGACATCAGGCATACAGGTAGTGCACAGATATACACACAGGCAAAACATACTTTAAAAAAAGTAGTCTTCAATGTGGACGATGTTTCCTAACCTTCAAACACCCCCAAGTAAGTAATCTTTGTTTACATTGGGAACTCCTGTGTTTATACAGGGTGATCAAGGACAGCGAGGACCTCCAGGAGAAGCAGGTCCTAAGGGAGACAGGGTGAGTACAGATGAGTCCTCATCACCGCAACAGAGCATGAGTTTCTGAATAATCTGTCAGTTTGGTGTATTTGCATGACCTGTGCATTGCACTCACTGAAGATGCCTTCTTTCCTCTTTCTCTTCTGCCCAACAGGGTGCTCAAGGTTTCCGAGGAATTCCTGGATCCCCTGGGCCAAAAGGAGACACGGTATGCCCTGAGTTGTGGGTGTCAAATACAGTTCCCAAGGTTACTGACTTGCAGTGGAACTCCAGGAAATAAGAAGAAGAATGTGACTGTTTCTAAGACACAGTGTGCTCTTTGTGTGTCCTTAGGGCTTGCCAGGTGTAGATGGTCGAGAAGGAATACCTGGAATTCCGGGATCAAAGGTAGCTGTGTGGCTGAGTCCTGTGTGAATGGGGAGATCTCTGCCCTGGACAGCTAAGCTCAGCATTTCTATGATGCCATTACCAGGAAGTCTGCTTAAACAACTCTGCCATTTTTTCCCCTCCCCTCTTTCCATTTCAAAATTGCCAACTGCAAAATTCTTATTAAAGTAGTACACTTATTTGCTTGTGTTAGGAACTCTGTAAAAGAGACCCATTGATAGAAGTAGACTGCAGGAAACTCTCTCTTTGAATGTGTGTCCTGTGTCCTACCCACCACCTCTCCTGAGCTAAGTAATTTAAAAGTGCGTCTAAGGTTAGCTGTTGGAAAAATATTTTTACCTGAAACAGCTGCACTCCTCTTTCTTAGAAGAACACATCAGTTCATAAAGGTATAATTGTGTGATTAAGAACTTGCTTTCAGGGTGAAGCAGGGAAGCCTGGACCTCCTGGTGATGTGGGATTGCAGGGGCTGCCGGTACGTGCTCATTTTTGGTTGCTTACATGGTCATGTTTTATGAATTCAGAGGGATGGATACGTTATGCATTTTGTTGAGTTCTGAGGGGAAAAGGATGCTCTATTTTTTTTGTTTTCTTGTGTTTACATTTTTGATGTTTTCCCCCTGTGATTAGCTGGTCATTTGCCCAAGAAGCATAAAAAGAATAGTACATTCTATTTATGCACCATTTAGTTTTATGGTTTTGGTCTGCCTTCTCTATTCTCTTCCTTAGTTTGGGCAGTGGGTACTGCTCTGTCTCTTACCTTACTTTTAGCCAGTCTTGGAGTTCTTGTTAGCAGGCTGAGACACGAGGAGATAGAAAGAATTCTCAGGAACAGTCTGAGGAAGGTTACAAGTCTTGGGTTAGGTGATACCTTGAAATTGGCATTTCCCTACATTAGTATGGCTGAAAATTCATATGAAATACATTGTTTGTATTTTTGAGTCTTTGAAGGCAAATCTTTCAAGTTAACAAAGGATATTTGGTAGTATCAAGAACTGGCTCCCAATCTGTTACGGCATCTGGCACTTTGTAAGCTGCCAGGGGATATAAGGACTCCCAGTACCCAAGTGAGCAAAATGAGGATTTTATTATTCTGTTCAAGAAGCAATGTTATGTCCCTATAGCATCTGTCCTGCTCAAAAGATTGTCTGTTGATGTGAGGGCAGGGCTGAATTCTAGCTTGAAAGGTCATTCTGAAAAATAACTTTAGCTTGGAGGTTTTCTTTAAGGTTCTGCCTTAACAAGCCGGGCATGGCAAAGCAGAGCATTGCCCACCATGTGTAGCCCCATTACTGACTGGTGTGGGAATGAGGCAGCATGCCCAACCCAATGCTGCCTTTGAGGTTGCCATGGTCCCTTCCGCCTCTTCTCAGATGGTGGGTTTGGGGTCTGATGGCTCCTCGGATGAGACGGTTAAACCCAGAATCTGTTTGTATTCTTTTAGGGTGTACCTGGGATTCCTGGTGCCAAAGGTGTCGCTGGTGAAAAGGTAAAAACAAACAAACAAACAAACAAAAAACCCCTTTCAGTTAATATTTGCTTCGTGCCTTTATGTGTTTATTTTGTGTATAATTTTTAATACACCCAGCCTGGATTGTACTTTAGATTTAACTCCAGGGAGAACTCAGAAAGTGAAACCTTTGGTGGGTCACGTGCTAACTCTCTTTCCCAGCTGCAGAAATCTGCTGATGAGGCTTTCTTCGTGAGAATGTCATCCTTTGCTCGTTTTTAAAATAAGGACTCTATGATGAAGCTATATAGAATGTGTGTCAGATTATGTTCCTCAGGGATTAAAGAACCAGTAGTTGAAAACAAGAAAACAAAGTGGTAAAACCGCTTTTCTTTAGAATCAAGTAGGTAAAACACGACAAAGGAGAGCTTGCGGCTGCCTAGGTGGTGCAGTTTGTGAAGAGCTTGCCTGAGTTTGATTCCCTAGAACCTCTGTAAAAGGCCGTGTATGCGACCACAGTCCGGGAATGATGCCTGCAGCCAGCTTAGCCTACATGATGAGTGCCAGGCCAATGCGACACTCCGTCTCGACAAAAACAGGTGGACGGTACCTGAGGAATGACACAAAGATGTACTCTGGCCTTCACATACACACAGGTGCACTCACATCCACAAGCCTACATACACGTGCACACACATGTGACCATGAGATCGTCTGTGCATAGAAACACACACATAAGATGGAGATTCTGTATCCTCCCAGAGTCTCAATGTGAAACCAGGAGATCAATGCTATTTAAATATAAGCAATGCCCAGTGCGGGTAAGGCAGGCTGATGACTCTATTTGCAGTCTGAATTACCCTAAATGTTGCATTTTTGTCTCTAGGGTAACACAGGTGCTCCAGGGAAGCCTGGCCAGTTGGGAAGTTCAGGAAAACCAGTAAGACTGCAGTTAAACTTTCTGTCAATTGTGATCGATAGTTACCAGGAGGTGGCCGTTAACTGCCTCTCTATCTGCTTTCCTTTTCACAGGGCCGCCAAGGGCCACCAGGAGAGGTGGGACCTCGAGGACCCAGGGGGCTTCCTGTGAGTACTCTTCTCCCATGCCTTCCCTCTGACAACTTTGCTGAGTGTCCCTTACGGCTGTGTGAATGTTGGAGCAGATCGACAACAAAATGGGAATGCTAATCTATATCTACAGTGTATCTCCTTTTCAAAAAATGATACCAAAGATGTGTTTAAAAGAAGCATAAGGGGCTTTTTTCCCCCTACCCAAGACAGGGTTTCTCTGTGTAATAGCCCTGGCTGTGCTAGAACTCACTTTGTAGACCAGGCTGGCCTCGAACTCACAGAGATCTACCTGCCTCTGCCTCCTGAGTGCTGGGATTCAAGGCGTGCACAATCACCAGCTAGAGCTTTGTATTTTCATCTCATGTTGGAAGTGTTTTTAGTGTGGTTAAAAACCTTCATTAAGATGTAGTTCGCATGCTATATAAACTACCCACTTAGTATACATGACATTCATTTTTAGTATACTCACAAAATTATGTAGCCATCAGCACAATCAATTTCAGAATATTTTCATCACCCACTGAAGAAACTAGGCACTGAGTTCCACTCCCTTCAGCTCTGTGTCACCCCAGTTCCACTTTCTGTCCCCATAGCTTTGCTGATTCTGAAGGTTTTCTGTGAATGGATCCCTACAATGTGCCTTGTGAGTCACTTGGTATAGTGTCTCAACATTCATGCATTCTGTAGCGTGTTCCAGCACTCCATTCCTATTTGTGGCTACATAACAGTTAACTGTACGGACTAATTACACAGATACATCACGTCCTTTTCACCTATTCATCAGCTACAGGCATTTGGGTCTCCACTTTGGGCTGTTAAGAATATGCCACCACGAGCATTTGTGGTCACACTTTTCTGTGGATGCTTTTAATTCCTTTGAGTATGTACTTAGGAGTGACTCTTCATTTAAACTTGAAAAGCTTCCCTATTTCTTAAGTGTAAATATGTCAACTTGTATATAAGGACAAACTTGTCTACTTGTTTCACAGATAACATAACAATGTATATTTTCCTGCTAGAAGATACGTTTTAATCTTTAGAAAGAAACTCACCAAAATTTTCACGTTAGGGCTAAAAGAGATGGCTCCCTGGTTAGGAACACTGGCTGTTCCTCTAGAGGACCTGGGTTCTATTCCCAGCACCAAGGTGAAAGCTCACCACTGTCTGTAACTTCTGTCCAACGGCATCTGTGGCCCTTTTCTGGCATTCTTGGGTACTGCATAATAGAGTTAAAAACTTCCATACACTTAAAATAAAAGAATTTAAAAAATTCACATTATGTGCTAAAATCTGACTCCACAAAACTCTCTGGCCTTCATTTTCAATTCTTAGTTTCAGCCTCCTGGATAATAAAAACAAGGCAGTAAACAAACATTCTAAGTGAGAGCATGTGAACAGATCCAAATATACTTCTCTTAAAGCTTCTCTTGAGTGTGTGGAAAGAAGGTTTTCATGCTTGAGAAAGTGAGAGTTGCTAGCTATTGTGCAGCAGGAGAGTGGCGCTTTGTGCCTCTAACAGGTGCCTGTAACTGACCTGTATCAGGCGGTTTCCTAGGGTTTCTCAGCAGCCAAGGAAACCAGTGCCTGTTTCTAGCCATGCTCTTTGCTCGCTCATTATTTTCTTCCTTTGGGTTTGAAGCCTGTGAATTGCTAACTAAGATACTTGCCAGGAGTGACTGTCAAGGCACTGAAGTTAAAGCCAGATCACATCTCTTAAGCAGTAAAAATGCTATATGTCTAACTCTGGGAGATGTAAAAGTGTTGGGGAATTAGTATTTTGAGATTGTTTACTGTTAAATCCACTTTTTAAAATTTTTTTAGCAGAAAGCTGTGTATGGTTGAATGAACATTGACTGTGCACCTATTGTATACCAGGAAAATGCACACACACACACACACACACACACACACACACACACACACACACACCGCTCATAAGGGATGCTCATTATTACCAGTTAAGTAAAAGGAACATAAAGTAATATGTATCCAGAGATGGAGCATCAGAAGGACGTAGGAACAGTCGATTCTCTTAGGTGTGGTGAGCTGGATTAGAGGAAGTTAACTGGTGGAGGCTTTGGGCTTTTGTTTTTCACATTTCTCTGAGTCTTTGTTCCTGCCACTGAGGCTCACAGCATCACCTTTCTGCTGTCACATTTCCTGTCTCTCAGCTCCTCTCTATCGACTTTCTTCCCGGCTTCTGTTTCCTCTACCCTGGCTTGACTCAGCACCCACTTGGGTAACTGCAGTATCTTCTGATCTGCTCCCTCAGCTCTACTCCTTACTTCCTCCATCAAGTTGTCTCAGTAGGACACCACTGATATCCGGTGCTTTCTAGTACTCTTGCATGTCACATGATATCGTCACATCCATGGCCACCACCCAAGAATACTATGGGAGCGTCCATAATCACTGGGACAAATGAAATTGTCAAACACAGTTCCAAAGGCCCCAAGACACGGTAGTACCTCCAGTCTGAGCACGCCAGAGTATTGGTCTTTCTAAAGTACAGTTTCCTTGCTAACTTCTCCTCCCATTGAAAAAATCTTTCATGGCTAAGCATGGTGGCTTTTAATCCTGGTACTCAGGAGCCAGAGTCGGGTGCATCTCTGTGAGTTCAGGCCCAGTCAGCTCAACACAACAAGTTTTGGGCAAACCAAGGCTATAGAGTGAGACCTTACATTAAACAACAGCAAAACCATAAAAGCAAAACAAAAATAGTTACAGATTTACACTGGCAAGAGAAAGTCTAAACTCTGAAACTATTTGATAACTTCCTAGTTACACATCTCTCTCCTTCCTTTCCTCCCTCCCTCCCTCCCTCCCTCCTTCCCTCCCTCCCTTCCTTCCTTCCTTTCTGTTTCTATCTCTCTCTCTCTGTCTCTCTGTCTCCCCCCCACCATGTGCATGTGTATATATATATGGTGTTCCCACGTGTGTGGACACACGTGCCAAGGTGGACGACAGAAATCCTTCCCAACTGTGCTTCACCTTATCCATGGAGTAGGAGTCCCTCAGTTAAATCTAGAGCTTGCTGATAGGCTAGTCTGGTGAGCCGGCTTGTTCCAGAGGCCCTCTGTCTTCATCTGTCTAGTGCTGGAATTACAGGCTGCCTTTTATGTGGGCTTTGGAGATCTGAAGTCCATTCCTCACACCTGTGACAACTGCTTCAGCCATGGAGCGATCATCCCAGAAGTTTACTTCTCACTTTCATCCGTGCTGAGGTCACACTTAGTTCTGTGCAGCTCACTAACTGCTGTGACACTTCTTACCCCCCTTGACTCCCCCGTGTCTCACTCTGCATTTATTTAGCTGGATCTCGGCTCCATTTCTATGAGTCATCATTCCCTGCCGAGTTGTTCTGAAGTTCATAACCCCTGGCCTCTCCGACTCCCCTGCTGTGACTGGAAAGGAGGCAGAGGGATGCCTTATTCATCTCCATGCCTCCTACATCTCTTTACTTAGGGCCTGCCATAAGGCAGTACTCAATAATTTTTTTTGGAATAAGTTGACTTGGAAGCATAATAAATCCTGCCATGCCACTTTCATTGGTAATAGCTGACTTCTCACCTGCAATATTTTCTTTTTCGCCATTATGTTCTGAATATAATAGCTCTGGTGCAAAGTTTTAACACCAAATTGCTCTCCTGGAGGGTGCATTTGCTCTTTCATTTACATCAATGAATTCCGTTTTGTAGACAGATTCACAAGTTTCCATGTACGGTTGGCAAATTTGATCAGATTTTCCTGTAAATCTCAAACCAAACTCAGTAGAAGGGATTAGAACATATGTCTAATGTATCCTAGATACACGTCTTTGCATTTAATTTTTTTTGATTTGATTGCAAGAAGGATTAGTTTTTTAATTTTTTTTTATTTTGACCCTCTAGTCCAGTGGTTCTCAACCTTCTTGATGGTGTAACCCTTTAATACAGTTCCTCATGGTGTGGGGACCCCCAATCATAAAATTATTGTCACTGATACTCCATAACTGTAATTTTGCTACTGTTATGAATCATGATGTAAATATCTGTGTTTTCTCATGGTCTTAGGCGACCCCGGTGAAAGGGTCGTTCAACCCCTGAGGGGGTCATGGCCCTTAGGTTGAGAACCACTGCTCTAGTTATTCCATGGAAACCAAAGCCATACACATGTGTAGGCTTTCTCTGTTACGCTTTCTCTGCTTGGTTTATAATTGGTCTGAGTGGCTCTTGATTCAGAGCAGGCAAATAGACTGGCCTTTGATGTGGTGCTACATTTTAGTGGCTGCGAGCCAGTCACTCTCCAGGCTTCTTTGAACTTGCCAGGTTTTTGGATGAGTGGGTTATGTTTGCTCTGCTCTCTTGGTTCTACTGGGGATAGCACCCTGCTGACTTACCTCCTTCTGAACATCATATGTTCCTATTGTACTTTTCCTGGAGACCCCCAATCCACCCCAACACAACAGCCTCAAGCAGAGAGGTCTCCATATGGGGACCAGATGGTGTGTTGTTGAATATTCTAAGCTGCACCCCATTCTGCCCAGCCCTGGGCAGTGGTGTGTGAAGCTGATATGTTTGATGGTAAGCATTCAGACAGATTTTTCTCTGCCTATGTATAAAGGAATATTTAAATCCATGCAAGATAAATACAACCATATCATATCATAAAATTGAATCCTTTAAAACATCCTTGCAACAGACTGAAAGTTATTCCCTTAGGTAGAGCTCATGTGATTTTCCAATTTAATAGGAAAACAAATTGATAAAAGGAACAGTCTAGAGAAATCAGGATTGATCTTTTGGGTTAAATCAACATCCTCCTTTTTGTTGTTGCCAGAGAGAGACACTTAGTATACAGAAGAGGCTGAATATGATGATGTATAATTTCTCACTTCTAAAATTTAGCTAGCATACACCAAAGATAGTATTTATTCTTCAGCTAGTTAGCATTCAGGGTAATTTTGGAAACTAGGAAATATGAGAGCCATGACAAATTAAAGTCATGGAATAGAGACAATTCTTATGGAAAACAGTTCTGGTAACATTAAGTCACACTAAGTTTTCAGATTTCGTTGTAATCTTTTATAAATGTCTAATCATTCCTTCATGAGGGAAGAGGTATCAACTTGAATTACTTGGTGTCTGTGTCTCTGCGGTCTCATGCCGTCACCACCATAGCACGGTTTTCAGTTGGTATTTGTTTGCCAAATTCTGCTGCTGTAAGACATTTAGCTACTTTTAAAGTTAGGATTTATGAGACTTTCAGTCTTAACCTTTTATCAGAAGTTTAAGTAAAGTTGGTAAAGATGAATACACAAACCCAAACTGATTGCTGGGTGTTTGCTATGCCAGACGCACAGAGTTAGAATCAGAGGTGAAGAGGGCTGAGTGAAAATAGGGAATATGGAGCAATGTGCTGGAAAACTCCAGGGCAGCCCAGATCTGAAGGGCTTGGAGGAGTCGTTCGTAGGCACAGAGGGGACAGAGGCTCCACATCTTCTCTAGAGCCTCGGGTGGCTCTTAGGGATGCATTGGCAGGTGGGTCTGAAGTTTTCAGAGATGCCCGTGGAAGCATGGGAACCCTGAGAGAGACAAAGAGCCTTTTAGTACAATCTCACATATTAACCGGCAGAAGAACTCTGCCTTGATTCTGACTCCTGCCGATTCTCTTGTTATAAATGGAAACTGTTATTGTCATGAGGTGTGTAAATATCAGCCACTGGGAAGAGCGTTTCTCTCCCAGCCTCCACTGCCCACCCCTGAGAGTGTGGTGACCACATGCTGTTGGGGCATACGGCTTTATCATTTATGTGCCTTGCCTAGTTACTGTTGGAATGTATTCAATCTACATTTCTAGAGTGCCTATTTATATCTTGACTACTCATTGTTTTCTTCTGACATTAAAAAAAACAAACAAACCCAGAATTTATGTAAGTATACGCAGTGTGTGTGTGTGTGAGTATACGCAGTGTGTGTGTGTGTGTGTGTGTATTGTACAGAAACCACAAAAATGACTATCATAGAACTTTGTCCTTTAAGTAACTTGGCTGTAAGTAACTGTTTGGATACTGTTATGAAAATGAACATTTCCGACTTTCCCAGTGAGGTGATCTCTATAGAAACTGCTACACTTAGAATAGCCTGGCGTGTGTGACAAGGGAGTGAAGATGGACAAAAGACCCACCTGTTTGTGCAGAAGCAGAAGAGCACACATCCACATGTCCCGGGCCTTTCTCCTGGTCCTACATATACAGCGACATCTGGGTACATCCATCCAGCCATGCAGGCTGTCCGTAGTGGGGCTCTGAGCCATCCACGGGTACTTGTCGCAGGCTTGCCAGTGGCTGGGAAGGACGTGGGAAAAAACAGTAAGAAGTTATGAAAGATGGGAGAAAGTAAGATTTCAGCAGAGAGAATCCTTGTTTTTGACTCACAAGACAGTTAATCCTCCCAAGAGTAAACCAAAGGTTATATAGTCCTAATACTTGGTTTTTGAGAAAGAACTTTACTAATCATCCTTAATTTTGACACAGTAGTATGTCTCTTTTATTTAGAAGTGAATACTTGAGACTCTGATGGAGACGAAGCTTTCTGCTTTCCTCTGATATCTGTTTTTCATCACCAGTGACTGTTAGTTTTTAAGATTAAAGTCATGTTAAACCAGTAACATTGAGGATCTGCATCACAATGTGGCAGAGAATTATTTAAAAACACCAGTGGTATATGCATACATAAGAGAAGCAATCTTGAACTTGGAAGGTCTAGGCCAAATTAACTGGAACAGAAGCCAATCTTCTCTTTTGCTACAATTTTTTAAAAAATTAAACTTATTCTTTGGCAATGTCATACATATATTTAATGTATTATGGCCACTCGTACCCGACACATGCCTTGCCCTCTTATCCACTCCTCCATTCAAGCCCCTCTCACTTTTATTGTCTTTATTTAGCAATTCAATGAGTTTACTCAGGGTTATCTCTGTGAACATAGGTGTAACGTAGTCCCCTGGAGCATGGGGGACTTGCCAGAGCCTACGCTACTGAGGACAATGATTCTCCTTCCTCCAGAATTCATCCTTAGTCAGTAATTTTCTAGGGAAGAGTGGGCCCATGTGCCTTTCCTGTGCTAGGTGTCCAGAGGGAGGACAGGAGATAACCTTTATAGATAGATAGAAAAAAAATCTGTTCCAGTGGTCACCTTTCATCTAGATTTACATCCTTCCAGCTTCCACCCTCAGGGGCACTGCCTCAGGTTTCCAAGATGCTCACGGGATTAAGGACTAATGTATTATTCCAAATGCTTATACCTGACAGGTTAATATAAAAATTATTGAAAAGCACTTAAGAGCATTGAGTTTCAATCACTTATAAATCATATGAAATGACTACAATGAACTTCTAGCCCACAGCCAGAGGCTGTTGTAATGTGGTAACCTTTAGGGAAATCAAAAATTCAGAAGGTTTACGGATCTTGACACCTTGTTCAACCTAAAGATGAGTGGATAACATATAGGCCAGAATAAAATAATCTTACCAGAGGCATTTCAAAGTATTAATTATTAAAATGGAGGGGATAAATCATTTTAAAGGAAAACTAACTCAAATGATTCCTTCCAGTTTTATGATAGATCTCAAAGGAAGCGTGGTTGATTATCTACTAGTGTTCCACTCAGCCGGGCACAACGCTAGGTATACAGCAGGCTTTAGGTAGATTGTAGGAAACTGTGTTGAGTTCTTAAGAACAGAAGTAAAAGTCTCACACCTCCTTTTCTCAAAGTTTCCTTTTCTTTAAAGTTTAGGGTTTCAAGTAGAATAGAAATTTGAGGTCTTTGATTTCAAATAAAAAACTTGAAATTGGCCCACAAAATAAAATTAGCATTGCTGTTCACAGATCTTCATAGTGAGTCACACTTTCCAAAGTCTGTAATCCTTGAAGACATATTTAGACCTAGCATGAGTAAAACAAGAAATCTTCGCTCAGAAAGTTTATAAATGTCTGCCATCTGTGTCTTTTTGAGGCTGTGGTAGTGATTTACAGGCGAGCATCTCTGTCTTGTGTGTTCCTTTTTATGCCTTCGTTGAGGTAAGCAATCACTTTCTAGCTGCTCCTTTCAGACATGGCTTACTCTGTATCACAGACATGGCACCATGCCAAATGAGTGGGTATGGAATAGCCCAAGAACACGTCTAAGTGAGGGCATAAAATGTGTATGTATGAATATCCATAATGTGAAGTAGAATGTGACTTACATGCTGAACATTACTAATCATAATTGCATGTACAGGAAGTGGATATGTCCAATGGACCAATGCCCTAGCATCCATTGAACAACATGAGCAGGTTCCATGAGCAGGGTGCACAGAGGACAATTAGATTCTGGTAGGATGCCCTGCATTGTGGTGGTATTGTGTTCCCCAAAATATTGTGCACCCTAATAAATTTACCTGGGGTCAGAGAACAGAGCAGCCACTAGATATAGAGGCCAGAAAATGGTGGCACACACGCCTTTAATCCTATCACTTGGGAGGCAGAGATCCATCTGGATCTCTGTGAGTTTAAAGCCACACTGGAAAGAGCAAGGCATGGAGACTCATGCCTTTAATCCCAGGAAGTGATGGCAGAAAGCAGAAAGGTATATAAGGCTTGAAGACCAGAAACTAGAAGCTTTTGGCCTGGTTAAGCTTTCAGGCTTTTGAGAAGCAGTTCAGCTGAGATCCGTTTGGATGAGGACTCAGAGGCTTCCAGTCTGAGGAAACAGGATTAGCTGAGGAATTGGCAAGGTGAGGTGGCTGTGGCTTGTTCTGCTTCTCTGATCTTCCAGTATTCACCCCCATACCTGGCTCCGGGTTTGTTTTTATTAATAAGACCTTTTAAGATTCGTGCTACACTGCATCTTCAGTTGACGTGAAGGGAGAAGATTTTGTCAACTCCTATGTTGTAGCAAAAACCTCTTTGGACTGGCTTTTTTTTTCATGTAATAATTCAGCATTGGACTCTGGCCTGAGTGTCCAGCTGATGACAACATGTATGTTTTCACAGGGCAGTAGAGGAGAAGTTGGACCAGAAGGGTCCCTGGGCATACCAGGAAAACTGGTAAGTGATGTTTCCCATCTCTATGTGTTTGCTTCCTACAAAGCAGATACCGTTTTTAAAACAGGAAAGGAGAGGAAAACCAATTTGCATAAGGTCATCTAATCAACCGCCCATTTTTTTGTTGTTATGTGAATATGTGATACTGTAAATATAGAATTTCAAATTGTATCTACGATATCCTCCGAGAGTATTTTAGTCCGTGTGGTTTGAATGCATTCGAAACCCCAGGAAGGCACGAAGTGCTACATTTGGCATCTGCCTTTTCTTGGAATGGAGGAGAACGGTGGATGAAGGCTGGCTTTTGTTTCTAGTGTAGCTCCTGTTTACACAGCGGGAGAAGCGACCGTGTACTGCCAGACCCCGACTGAAAACGTCTACTGTTGCTGAGCTGTGCAGAGGGCATTCAGAGGCGGGGTGGAAGGTGGGGGGCCACCGGCCCCTCTTCTGGGTTACAAGAGGGAGCCAAACAGAAGAGGCAGCACTAAACCAACCACACGTTGATTTTCGACATGAATGGATACCCCAGGGCCCTGTCTGGCTTGTCAACATTGAGCATTGTGGGCGCCGTGACTTGGGAGATTTTCCGTTTGTTTTCCAGGGACCTCTTGGTAGCCCTGGCCTTCCTGGCCTGCCTGGACCCCCTGGACTTCCTGGAATGAAAGGCGACAGGGTAAGACAGCCAGCACTCTACAGGCTTTTTTTTTTTTTTTTAAATCTGGAATGATGAATCCTTCTTTGTCGAGAAATCAAGCTTGCTTTGCCCAGCGAAGACTTTCTCTAGTGATTATGGTAAAGTTATTCAGAGTTGACACTGAAAAGAAAGAAACAAACCAAGACATTTACTTCTTGGAAGGAAGAGAAATAAAGGCGGAGAGGCGGGAAGTATCAGTTGTAGTTGCAGTTTTTTTAATTTAGTTTATATTCCGATCAGTGAAAGTTCATTCACATGCATATGATCAGAGAATGGTGCCCTGTTACCAGAGATTTGGGGAACAGTTGTCCATAAGAACAGATCTCTTCTGGTCCTCATTAAGTGGTGAGAAAAATGGGGAACTCTCATCCACCACACCATCCATCATCTCATTCGGGGATGTTGGCTCATCTGAAATTATACACACAACTCAACCTACTGAAAAAGTGTTTTATCCATTTCAGGGTGTGTTTGGCGAACCGGGTCCCAAGGGTGAACAGGTAAGCTGTGTGTGTGGTTCATGGTATAGGATATATGCTACTTCACGAGGGCAGGGCTGGCTGGTTTGTGGGCGTGATGTTGATGGCGGCTCACAGCCTTTCTCAGTGTACTGTACAGTGAGTGAAACTATAATGGAGTTTGGTATGCAACCGAACAGTTTTCATATGCGGAAGCTAGTGGCTGTTTCCTGTACTGTACAGTGCTCTTCCTTTGCAGAGTATGGCCCTGTCTCTCTGGCACGCTGAATTTTATTCAGATGACACAGGCTTTCAAAGTCACAAAATAACACTTTGAGTATTGTTTGAACAAGACCTTAGCAAATAAAATGCGCAAATAAAGTAGAGTCAGCCCTGAGTCTGGATTCCCATTCCTACTGTAGAAAGCTGCTTTCAAGGGTTATTGGGTTTAAAATTGCTAGATATCACTGTTAGTTTAATTAAATGAAATAAACTTGATCAGTAGCTGAAACCTGGTCTCACCTCTGTCCTGTCTCATCTGTTCTTTTTTTGGGGTGGGTAGGATTAGCTTGCTGTCATGGAATCAAGAGCTCCTACACGATCCTTGGGGCATTTGGGCACTTATAAATGCTTGTCAACGTTGACTAGTTAAAGTTGACCTATGAATGGAGGACATTTTATCCTAATGTGACATTTTATCTTTTTTTTTTTAGGGTGCCTCTGGTGAAGAAGGTGAAGCAGGGGCGAGGGGTGATCTTGTAAGATTCTTTTTTTTTATTGGTTGATATAAAACTTTTAAAAAATCGGAAAAAATATGATTTTTCTTTCTGACACTGTTCTCATTATCTTAAAGACTAAGTGGGTTTTTCCTCTGCTTTGACTAGTGATTCCCAATACCGAAGGCCAGGCCCAGGCCTGCTAATGCAGATTGGTAGACTTGGCTTTAAACTTCTGCAGAATTCCCTTAGGGATGATGAATTCTTCTGTGGTCTCACATCGAGACATTCAAGTTATTCATGTAGCACTACGGACTGCATAGGGACAGAACCTAGCTAGGAAACAATGTCTTTACAGCCAGGAGCTGTGGCTCACAAGTACGACTGAGGGCATTCTGTCTACCCTGAAAACATCGGAAGGAATGACCTACATCTGCACAGGGTGAGACACCCTCCACAGGGTGAGACACCCGAGCCTCCAGGAAAGGACGGGAACAGAGCACATGTCTGTGTGCAGAGCTGCTGGGTCTGCTGCCTCCTCATGACAGTTTGGGCAGGAATGATCAGACCTACTGTAGAAACGTATGTTTGAGTCCTTCTCCAGTCAGTAAGGTTTTTCCTGTGAAGGAAGGAGCCTTCCAGCTCTTTAAGAGCAGAGAAATGATCCGCCAATATTTATTCAGACTTGCAAGGTCTAGAATGAATAGAAATGAAATGTCTGGACTGGGCAAAGTTTCTGGACTTTTTCTAAAGCAAATTTCTGAGATTATTGCATTTTAGTTTCTGTAGTGGCCATTCATTTTATGTGTTTAGGGAATGTTTTAAAAGTTAAATCAAGGGCTGGAGAGATGGCTCAGAGGTTAAGAGCACTGGCTGCTCTTCCAGAGGTCCCGATTTCAATTTCCAACAACCACATGGTGGCTCACAACCATCTATAATGAGATCTGGTGCCCTCTTCTGGTGTGCAGACAGAACACTGTATATGTAATAAATAAATAAATCTTTTAAAAAAAGTTAAATCATTCTATCTTGTAGTGGTGATTTGCTAACACTTGAACAGAACTCATCTAAAATTAACGATGGGAAGATGGCCTAGGTTTATTTATTTTTTTAAAGCTTGAAAGCACGGATTTTTTTGTTTGATAGATTTGAGGGAAATGATTTTAAAAACATAGAAAAATAAAAATAGAATTTCAGTGGATAGTTTTAAATGTCTATCATGTTTGGTAAGAAAAGCTATTGTAATTCATTTTATTACCTGCACATTTTTGTTCTTGCTGCTGAGCACTGTAGATCTGGATGAACCTCACAGAGCTCTGATTGCAGCCTGTTAGTCAGCAGATCAGTTAGCCAAGGGCTGGGAGGTGGCCTCATTCACACAGAGTTGGGTAGCTGAACTGGAATGACAGCCCACATTTTGAGTCAAACATGTTTTTACAGTTCGGGGCTCCATCTGCACATGGTTTTTCTATATGTTAGCAGTACAATAGCATTGGAAAAATGTTTTAGGAAACTATGTAAAGTGAATAAATTGTACTAATACAATTTTCTTCTGCTGGTTTAGGGAGATATGGGATTACCTGGCCCAAAGGGATCTGTAAGTATGATGAACAATAATGGTACAAAATTAAAAACATCAATAAAGTTGTAGAAAATGTAATACTCTGATTCATGAAATGATTGTATAGAACTAAATTCCTTGAAGGACTTCAAGGAAATACATGTCACAATTTGCTCTGTAAATAATGGACTCAACCAGTAGGAAGACATTCTCAGCTGTGTAAATGGATCTAGCTTTTGAACTCACCGCTCTAAAGAAGGTTTTTGTTTTGATATTAGAAATGGCTCAATGAATGTTCTATTATAATGCTCTGATATCCTCCCCACATGGGCCGTTTTCGAGAGTGGTCACATGCTCTTCAGTGAGGCGAACAACTGGATCTTAGTGGCAGTTATACTTCTGCAAAATATTTCAATAACTTTCTTGATCTCCCTTGTTTCCTAGTCGAGGGACCTGAGAGAGAAGCAGAGCCCACAACAAAATATAACAGAGAATCATCAGAACCATACAATGATGAGCTTCTTCAATTTTGTTATTTTATAGAAACTAAACTTATGTCCTTAGAGTAGATGAATTCACAATTATAGATCTAATTCATGGGAAACCCGAGGCATCTTGCTAATGTGCACACCAACACCATTAGGAACTTAGAATTTAGAGAGAAAAGGTGAAGTTTAGATGTAATCTCAAAGGCCATCACCACTAGCTTGCAGTGACTTCTTAAAGTCTCTCTACTTCTGGAATATTCCCTATTTCTGTCTTTATCCAACAAATTGTCTCCTCAGCAGCTAATTTAGCCCTACTAAAAAGAACTCACTATATATCATTTTTTCCCTCTGAATCCTAAAGAATAACTTTAAAAAAAAAAGAACTGTTGTAGAATAAAATCAGACTCCCAGCAAAGTAGACCAAACTTGTCTGAAGAGTTCTTGGTTTATCCATTTTGTCTCCTGGGTATCTGGAACTTTGTCCATTTCCAGTGCTTTTACACACTATGTTGTTTAACCCTTTCTAGTGTGAACTGGCTTTCTCCTTCTTGAGAATGACTACTTCCTGTTTATGCATCCTGATCCATCCTCTACCTTACATTCTCCAGGGGCACCCACCCAAACCTGATTTCAGCACCCAGAGGCAGGCTGTCTGTGGGCTGTATGCTCACTAACATACAGATGAGATTGCATTGTATTAACTCCCCAGCCTTTAAACATCAAGTTTCAAACAATGTTCGTGCCTAAGAACACTTGACCAGGCGGGGGTGGTGCATTCCTTTAATCCCAGCACTCGGGAGGCAGAAGCAGGTGGATCTCTGTGAGTTCGAGGCCAGCCTGGTCTACAGAGTGAGTTCTAGGACAGGCAGAGCTGTTACACAGGGAAATCCTGTCTCGAAAAAGAAACAAACAAACAAACAAACAAAAGAATACTTGAAAGGAATGGTTTAAACATATCAAGAGTAAACCCTGATGTGTTTGGTGAGAGAAATCTTATGTCATTATCTAGAATAATTCAGTGATGTTCAAGGGAAAAATGCAAACGATAAAAGAAAACTTTGCCCTAATGCAGTGACCAACACTTCCTGCATTCTAATTTGGATATATTAGGAACGAGCCCTTGATTCATCACTTCTCCTCTCCCTACTTCTTATATGACACTGCTCAAGTAATGCTGAAGGAATTGAACTGTACTGTCCCAGAGGCAAGAAAATTATTTACTTCCACAGGAGCTTTCATTGTCCACTCCGGTGTTCGCACAGTTGAAAAGCCGATGTCTGTTCCAATGCACAGAATCTCTCGATTGAAGAACTCTTTCTGAGAGATCCAGGGTCCTTATGGCACCCTGATCTTTCCATCCCAGAGTCCCTGTGATTGATTCAATAGCAGTTTTATCCACAGCCATCAAGAGAATATAATTCAGTGTGGCCAGTTCTTGTGTGCATCTCAGTTCACTTTGGCATCTCTTTGGTTTGCTTTAGAAGTTGTTGGAGTTTTTCACCTGGGCACCGGACAGTTTTGCAGCCTTGTGTGGTGTAACTTAAGCTCTCTTTGCTGATGTTGCTTTCCAGGAAGTCTTTCAAGTTGTCATTTCCTTATAGAAGCAATCTTGTCAAGCTGACTTAGATGAATATCTTTTTTTTTTTTAACATCATAAAGCAAGATTGAAAAAGCTTGTGGAACCTTGTTTGGATGTGTGTGGTAAAATGTTGTTTTCCTTCTTCCCTTGGGCTGAAAATAGTTGAATATTGGAAACAGTTAGATGCTGCACAGGAAAAAGAGGCAGGGTGAGATCGCCCTATGGACATTCCTACCTTCAAGATTAGCATCCCCTGACTTCCTCTTGTCCTTGTACCTTTTCTTTCTTATTCTGCACAACAGTTTGCCTTACTGCTTTGCTACAAATTGTAACAAATTTTCGTCTCACAAAAGAGTGAATTAATGTAGTCTCCTTTTAAAAGCAGTTATTATACATGAAGACTTTTAAAATGCTCTTAATGGTCTGCTTTCTGGGAAAGAAAACAATTTGCCTTTTATGTATGCCTTCATGCTGAGGAGGCAAGGGTTTGTTGGTTGACTTCTTTAATATTTAGGTTTTAATTTTCTTATTACTTAAAACTGTAAAGTTGCCTCCCTTTTTAAATGCTTTACTTTCAAGGTCATATTTTGATATTCTGAGGATACTGGCTTAGTCTATGTTAGGTTTTTAGAATTCTTGCTTATTACTAGTGTCTTCAAGTTCATCAAAAGCATCTTATAAAAGCCAAATAACTCATATTCTTGGATTGTTGAATTGTTATACCCAAATAGTATATCTTGGAGGAAACCTTTTACTTGGAAGGGAGTCTTTTTATTCCCAGAAAATGTTACCAATCCTTATTTAAAAACTAAATGACAGGTTGGGGGAGACAGCTTGGTGGGTAAAAGGACTTGGCATGCAAACTTCATGATTTCAGTTTAGAACTCCAAAAGTCATTTCAAAGCTGGTCACAGTAGCACAAGGGTCTGTAACGCTAGCATGCCAGTGGGAAATGGGAGGCAGAAAATGGAGACTCTCCAGAAACTCACAGGCCGGATAACTTGGCTTAGGAAGCCGCAAAAAGACCCTGTCTCAAACCAGGTGAAAACGTGAGGACTAACTCCTAAAGGTCATCCTTTGACCGATGTGTCATCCCAGGTCCCCCGTACCCTCCCCCAACACACACACACAGCAGAACAAGCAATCAACTTGCTTGGACTAGACTGTATTCCAGTGGTAGACCACGTGCTCAGCATGTGCAAGGAGCTGGATTCCATCCTCAGCACCAAAACCAGAAAGAGAAAACCTAAAATCATTGGCTTATTCTTAGGTATGGCAAATGAGTCCTTAAATATGATTTTCTCAGTGGAGATTTTGAAATAATGATAAAAAAATTTGTAAGTTTACTTAAATTGGAATTCTAAGTGGCTGGTGAGTGGTTGAATGGTATTCTGTGTCTACATTGAGGTAACTTCTGGACAGACACCACTGAGGGACACAGCTAGTGGAAAACCTAAAATTCCACCTAAATATTTATATTGAGGCTAAGCAGAACATTGGTGATGTCTAGCGCCAGTTTCACACTGCACTGTTTGTTCTAGGTGGGTAACCCTGGGGAACCTGGCCTGAGGGGCCCTGAAGGAGTCAGAGGGCTTCCTGGAGTGGAAGGACCAAAAGGACCACCTGGACCCCGGGGCGTGCAGGGAGAACAGGGTGCCACTGGGCTGCCTGGTATCCAGGGCCCTCCGGTGAGTGGTGGACACATCCCACGGTTTCCTATTTCCATCAATCTCAACCAAGCTCTTCAGCAGCAAGTCCTCTCAGCTACCCGGTTCCATGTGATGTCCGTCCTTAGAGATTAGCATTGTTCTCTTTCTAGCTGCAAGTGTAACCTGCGTCTTTCTTTCTCATCCCAGGGCAGAGCACCGACAGATCAGCACATCAAGCAGGTCTGCATGAGAGTTATGCAAGGTAAACAAAGGGCAGGACCCTAAACATTTCCACTTCATGCTCTTGCTTCTGAAGTTTTTATGTTTGTAGGTGTGCAAGGGTAAGTAACTAGCTTTAAAGGTGGGAGATGGTGAGTAATGTTAGTATCAGTTCTGTTTTACCCAAGAGTTGATGTTTACCACCTTATAATAAAATAGTATTTTCTGTCTTAGCCTTCTTTCCAATCCCCATCCAGGCTCCATCTCTGTGTGACATGTCATTTTTTTTTTCCATTTGCAACACAGATTCTTAGGCATCCCCCTTCCTTAAGATGCCGCCACTTAGTGTGTATCTGGTATGGTCTTAGGATCTCCTTAGATTATGTGAGAACTAAGTGAGAGGTCCAGTGCCCACGGGGAGCATAAGGACATTATTTATACCCACGCAGTACATATGTTTAAAAAGTAACAACTAGTAGTTTTCCAAAAAAGATGAGGTATTTCCTCATTTGTTAATCTTTATCTAAATTTATCTACAGCTATGGAAATCATTATTCATTTTGGAGTCTGACTAGTTATAAAATCACACAGAAAATGAATATGTATAAAAATACCCCCAAACTGAGGAGACACTGGAATGCTGGCACTCTCTACAGAAAACTCCCTCACTGTGGTAGAAGTGTGTCTTCAAGAAATGCTTGTCTTTCATGTGCCGATGGACAGTCCACTTTGTCTAGTAGATATGTAGAATTTTCTAGCGCCAGATGAGAATGAAATGAATGCTTTTATATTTGGAAACCAATATAAATTTTGTCACTGCACACATTTTTGTTTTGGCTCCCCATTTGAGCTGTAAGCATTACTAACATAGCTGGGAAATTATAATTTTAGGTTTATTACATTAAGAAATTCAAAATAGTCATATTTAAATAATTTTAAACTGTTGGGTAGAAATTTGTTTCCACTTCCTGTTCTTTTTTCTACCCTACAGCTTTAAAAACAATATTGCACTAGAATTCTTGCCTCAGAGCATTTTAATGGGGTGGATTTTCTCGACTTTCATGGCTTTAGCGGCTGACTCTGAATGTATGTAAGAATCCCATGGAGTTATTAATTTTTAAGACGAACTGTGACCATTCCAAGGAAGGTTATTTTTAATGATTGTTATCTATTCCAAGCATGAAAATAAACTGGAGGGAAAGGATTTATTAGAAGCCATGAATTCTCATGGTATTTTAGGTTATAGAATTGCTTTGAACTAAGAAGGCTTTTAGTTTTGATGCCTGGTCTCAAAGAATGTCTGAATCCTAATTTTGAGCGATGCTTTGGATTTTTAAAAGTTCCAAGACAACATTTCCACCCATGACAAGAAACTCATTTTCTTTGCATCCTGGGGTTTCATGTAGTACCAGATAGGATTCAGGTGGCCCTCTCAAGGTTCTGGACCACCACCCATCTCAAAGCCCTGAAGTTCAACCCTCATCCCACTTTGTCTCAAAACAGCTGGGCCAGATAGATCCCGGGCAAGCTCAGGAACGGGAAGCCTGTGGGAAAACACACTGTTTCTTTCTTGGTGCCACATTTAGATAAAGGTCGCTGGGGATGCCCTTCTCTTCCTCTTAGCCACTGTCGTGTTTGTGACTTGCTGGTTTTTGTTTGTGTCTGTTTACTGTCTTTCAGAGCATTTTGCTGAAATGGCTGCTAGCCTCAAGAGACCAGATGCAGGAGCTTCTGGTCTTCCTGGGAGGCCTGGTCCCCCTGGGCCTCCGGGTCCCCCTGGAGAGAATGGTTTCCCGGGTCAGATGGGAATTCGTGGCCTCCCAGGCATGAAGGGTCCCCCTGGGGCTCTTGGCTTAAGAGGACCTAAAGGTAAGGTTTTTTTTTTAAAAGTTTTATTTTATTTTTAATTATGTGTACGTGTCTGTGCATATGGGGGTTTCCATGGAAGCCAGAGAGGGCACCAGGACCCCCGGAGCTGGAGTTGCCAGTTAAGCTTATGAGGTGCCCGGTGTGGGCGACAGAAACGAAACTCCGGTCTTTTCCAAGAGCCATACACTCTTTAACCATGCAAGCATCTCTGCAGCCCCAAGGTAAGATATTGTGCGCAGGTGCAAGGCACACTTCTTGCTTATTTTCTTGAGATGTGTGATCTGCACCCAAGCCCATAGATTCACAGACAATTTCAAGACTCTGAAGTCACTGTAGGGCTTTTCTTAACGTGGCATCTAGTCTAAGGATGTTGGTGTCTATTAAACTAACAAAGAGGTGCAGGACATGTGACTGCTCTTTATGTCTGGGCTTACCGCTGCCCTCCTCCTCTTTCCAAAGTCAGCCCTCATACCTTTACTTTTGGTGGACTTTTATTTTGAACCCCAGGGTGCGATCTGATTTGATTCCTTCCTTAGTTTAAAGCAAGCCAAGTGCTTATATCCAGGAAGTGTTGCAAAAAAAAACAAAAAAACAAAACCAAAAAACCAAAAAAACCCAGAACAAAACAACACACAGGTTTGTGAGCGGGTAAAACATTCTGCAGAACGGACACTCTACCTCAGATGGTGTTTGCTAGTTGAGGTGAGCGTGTCAGCCGAGGTGTGTGCACCCTGGATAATTTATGGAGAATTAAGTAAAGTGAGGAGTTTCTGTGTTGTGACGAGTTACTGACAACTCTCCAGGGAACTTCAGAAGGATGTGACATAAAAAAACAAGAGGACACTCCCCCCCACCCCCCCTCCCACCCCCCCCACCCCCCGTTATTTTAAACGGTGTGGTGCTGCAATTAGGGCCAAACATTGCGGTGTGATGGTCAGAGGGCAAGGCAGCTGCCTCTTCCGATCTATAAATGAGTTGCTGATGTGGCTGGCTCACTACACCCTCAGTTGGAACAATTTGCTTAATTACATTTTTTTTGGCATGTGCAGAGCTGCATGTTGAAAATGGGCTCTAATTGGGACTCTTGTGCGTCTGGAGAGATGAAAGGGAGAGGGAAGGGGAATCCATCTCACCGAGCACTGGGTTTTCCTCAGGAAGTGTCGTGTGTTTATTCATTCTTGCCCCTGTTAGCTTCTAGTTCAGGACTCAGTGGGAGACGATCGTATGGGTAGTCCCATCCACCCTGAAGACCATGCCAGAAAATCCATTGGCTTGGGTGGGTTGTTGAGTTGGTTGGACCTGTTGTGCCCCTACCACAGGCATCCATACAACCTTCCCCAAGTGGCTCCTGAGCCCTTCGGAAGGTCTCCAGCTCCCTGCCCCACCCTACACACACTGAATCAGAAACTCAGGGTGGAGGCTAGTACTTGGGTTCAAGAGATTCTCAGGGGACCTGGATGTGGTCAAACATTGGTGTGCCATTCAAGTTCCTTAGGGAGTCTATGGAAATTAATTACATGTATTCATCACATAAACACATAAGTTATGGGGACCCACAGAGACTTGACTTTCATCTTGACTCAAGGTCACAGAGTCCGAGCATGTTTTCCCTTGCAAGGCTGCATAATAGGATGTTTTGGCCAAAGCAGTGGTTACCTGGTGTCTTGTACTCCAAGGCCTATTTATAGGATGCTTTGCCGTAAGGTGTGGTCACCAGATATCTTGAGTACTAAGGAGGTGTTTACACTTGACTGTAATTTGTATCTTGAATCATGATGTCCTTGAAAGGGGGAAGTCTTTTTCCCCACTTGCTTTGGGTATTTAAAGGCTGTGAGTAATAAACTCAAGCAGCTGTGGTATGGACCCAGACAGAGTCCTCTCAAAGCTATCCTGTGTCTCTCTGTCTTTTTCTTCATCTACATCTGTATTTTGTAGCTCTCATTTCCCAATTCCATACCCTCCCCACTTCAGAACTGTGCGGGACTCGACAATAAGTCACATCCCTGTTCTCTTTGGTAAGTCAGTGATTGGGTTCTGACCTTGACTTTGTGCTAGTAACTAAACTCCCCTCCAAGCAGCCTGTGGGGCCATCTCCTCCAGTCTTGACTGCACACGGAATTACCTAGGGAGTTTTATGAGCAGTCCAGGTCTGGGCCCCACTTCTAGAGTTTCAGAATCAGTTGGTCTGGGCTTTGGGGGCTTACAATGTCCCCGAGGTGGTTTTAACTGTAGCCAGGATTGCTGGAGTGCTTGTTGGAGGAGCCTTGGGCCGCACGGGACTGTGGCGTGTTGAACAGATTTGGGTCTAGCAGGAGAGTCTCATTTGAAAGGAAGGAAAGTGTATTTCTGTATTTGGAACCCAAGAGAGACCTCGAGCGTGAGGCTCATTTATCAGTCCCCACTGGATGGCCAAGGGGCCTTCCTTCTTCGGTATCCACAGCAGTCTGTCATCCATGCAGACACAGCCCTTCACCCCCAGCCCTCCAGCCCTTCCTCACTTGATTCCTTTAAATTAGCACTTTCTAAGGTTTTTGCTTCTGAAATCTGGGGTGGAGGCAGGCAGGGTAATTGGATTTTCTTTCTCAATTAACACTACAACCAATTCAGAAATACACAATTCCAGGTAACTGACCTTGGCTTTATCCTACCACATGCAGGATAGTAATATTTAATAAAAACATATTTTATTCTACTATTCAGAAGTTTGCAGCTTAAAATTTCTCCAAAGGAATGCATTCTACTGTGTTGACATTTAAATCTTGAGTCATTAGAGATGCAGTCCCGTATGGCTGTGCCTTCCCCCGACTGTTGCCTAACAAAAGTAGATGACCTGAGACTCACTCTAATGTTTAGTCCCTTTGGGTCTTTTTATAGAGAAATAAGGAGCTACAGTTGTTACTAAGGCTTTCGATAGGCCAGGCTATGTCTTAGTCATTGTTTTCCTCTTGACATTGCTCTGAGAAACAGTGGAACATTAGGGTAAGAGCATGCTGCCCTCTCCAAGTGCCCCCTCCCCCACCAATGTAGAGTGACATCTTAGTCCATGTGGTTAGTTCTCCCCGACACCTTATGTGTAATCGCACACATGCAGGACCAGTGTCTACACGTTGTGCACCCCCTGTATGCATGGCAGGGCAGAACCCACGAGGGCGACAACGGAGTCGCCATATGCTCAGTTTACTTGGTGTTTTATTCGTCTTTCAGGCCATAAATCTTATTTTTAATGTTCATGGCTAGGATTAATTTTAAGTTCCTAAGTTCCTTAGCTGTGCATTTTTAGACATTTTAGTGTGAGTCAAACAGATGTGACGGTATGGAAATGAAGGTGTGAGAAAATACATGTTATAACTGTGACTCACACCTTTTTCTGTGTTAATCTGCTCTTGGAGTGGGGAGGGGCGCAGAACATCAGTTATAGCTTGTGAATAATAAAAGTGAAATAAACAACATTCAGAGAGCTGTGAGAACACCCAGCCTTCTGATTTTCTTCTCAGCCTGGCTCTCACTTCATACCTGACCTAAGGCTTTTTCCATTTGTATATATATATATTTTATTTACATGTAAGAACATTTTGTGACTTTGCAGTTACTGAGGCCCCAACTTCAACCAAATGTCTCATAAATGCCTTGTGCACATTTGGTTGCTATCCACAGAATACTCCCAGTCAACTCTGAGTCAGAAGTGAGAGACACTTGTGATAGCACACTTTCATTTCTAAAATGAGTTTGTTTCTGACAATACTACATTTACACTGCTCAAAAAGTTAAATGTGAGAAAGGCATTTAGTAAAGAATTTCTCCCAAAAGTTTCCTCTATGCTTAGTTTCCTTTGCCATTCTTATGATAAATAAAACCGTTGGCTTCCTACAGACCCCTACAAGCAGAAATCTGGGGACACATGCTTTCTCTGCCTCCTTACGTAGAGTCGGAAGGTTTCTCTGGTCCTGCCCAGCCCTGTGGTCCTGCAGCAGCTTATAAAACAATCACTCAGAAGCTTATATTATAACTGCTTGGCCATTAGCTGAGGCTTATTACTGACTTGTTCTTACACTTAAATTAACCCATAATTCTTATCTATGTTTAGCCACGTGGCTTGGTACCTTTTCTCAGTTCTGCCTTATCATCTTACCTCCTCTGTGCTGGTGACTCCTGACTCAGCCTTCCTCTTCCCAGCATTCTCCTCATCTGCTTGCCCTGCCTATACTTCCTGCCTGGCTACTGGCCAATCAGCATTTTATTTATCAACCAATCAGAGCAACACATATTTACAGCATACAGAGCGACATCCCACAGCACCGTGAATAGAGTCACACTGTCCTTTAGTAAGCAAGCTGGACCTCATTTGTTTCTCATTTAACACTTTGTCCAGGAGACCATTCCAAAGAGCTTCCTGTGACGTCCCCCAGCTGTGTCTAGTCTGTGGCAGGGGCTCTGTGTTCACCTTTGATGATCTGTTTGATTGTTTCTAGTCTTCCAGTGCTACAGCACACAGCAGTGTACATATTTCATCTTGGCACAAAGTATCAACACAGACTTCATTCCCGCCTCTCATTCCATCTCCATGCCAAAATATTTTTACCGCTCTGAGAATACATTTCTGGAAGTAGAATTCCTGGGCAACATGGAGCTTCCCCTTATAATCTGATTGTTATTGTTATATCCCCTCCTATGAGGTTATACCAATTTGTGCTTTCCTCAACGATGTGCAGTTCTGTGTTTTTCTACAGCCTTGCTATGTTTAATATAACTATGGAACTTTTGCTAATTTTATAGGCTAAACATCTTTGTCGCTTTTTAACTTTGTGTTTATTTGTGAAAGCGAATCCAGGGGTGTGCTCATCTACGTAACTAACAGCCATTTTTGTTTTCTTTTCATGACTGCCTAATCACAGAGTTTGCTCATTCTTTTAGAATTTCTTTTTATTGTTTGCGTGTGCGTGTGTGTGTGTGTGTGTGTGTGTGTGTGTGTGTGTGTGTGTACCTGATTGTGTATATGTGCACCATGTATATGAAGGTGCCTGTGGGGGCCACAGAAAGTTCTGGATCTCCTGGGAATGGAGGTTACAGGTGAGGTGCCTGATGTGATTCTGGGAACTGAACCTGAGTCCCCTGCAAGAACACAGAGTGCTCTTAACCACTGAGCCATGTCCCCAGCTCTATGTTTTCTCATGGTTCTTTTATATTTGATCTATTTATAATCATGTGATAGAGGTTTTTTTTTTTTCCTAGTGGGCTACTCACTTTTTCTAAACATTTGATGACTCGCTAAATGTTTTCCACTTAAGATGCCACCTTTGTGGCTGGAGAGATGGCTCAGAAGTTAAGAGCACTTGCATGCTGTTCTTAAAGAGGACCAAAGCTCAGTTCCAAACACCCACATAAGGACACTCACATGAATCTTTAACTACAGTTCTAGGGGACTCTATGCCTTCTTCTGGTGTTTGCAAGCAACCCACACATATGTGCATGTGCACACACACAGAAACAGACATAAAACATGATAAAAAGAAATATTAAAATAAAAGATGTCATCTTTGTTATAAATCAATTTCTTGTGCATATTTGGACTTATTAGGTCGTTGTGCATCAAGGTAGGGACTACACCATTATAATTGGTTTAATAACTGGTAGAATTATTTCCTTCAAGCTGCTTTCCTTGGATGAGGTTTCTGGCTAATCCAGCTTCTGGGGTTTTTAAAATATAAACCAGAATTATTTTCTCTGGTTGAAGTGTACTTTCAAAAAATGGGATTGTCATCAATATTCACTTTATGAACGACAAGAGAAATGACAACCATTGATTGGGCTGTCATTCTACTGCATAACAGTGTTTCAAGCCTTTTCATATCCATTAGAAATGCTCAATTTCTTTCATGTTTTACTTGAACATTTCCATTAAGTCCATGCCTAGTTGTTTAGTATTTTAATTGCTACTATAAAGAGCACTTTTTTGCCATTTCTCATAACTGGTGGCTCTTTGTATATGTGAAAATGATTGATTTCTGTATATTAATTTTGCATCCTGTTAGATGACTGAATTTACTTATTGTTTGTAACAGTTTTTGAATTGATTCTCATCTTTAAAATATGTGTTCCTCTTACCTAAAAATAGAAATGGTTTTAATTTCTCAAACCCAATGATGTACAATTGCAGCAAGAGAACATTTTTGCTCTACTGGGGTCAGGGCCCCTGTCAAGGGTCATGCTTCCAAGGTGGAGACAGGTTTGGTCATATCAAGGAAGGATCCATTGACTCTTACCTTATCATGTGTTTTACTGAAAATGCACATCCAGTTTTGTGAAATGTCATTTGTCAAATGACAAATCAATCATTTGAATTTTTTTTTCTTTTTCTTGGGTCTGTTGATAGGATTTTGGCCTTGCTGCATGTCTATTACAACATGCCTTCTGGGCACATCATGATTTTTGCTATATGAGTTTGTGTTTGCTTAAAGTTTAAAATAAAGAAATGTATTGACACACAGAAGCATTAACATTTCTTTAATGAAATGCAGGTGACTTGGGAGAAAAAGGAGAACGTGGGCCTCCAGGACGAGGTCCTAAGGGTTTGCCTGGAGCTACAGGTCTCCCAGGTAAGTGAGTTCTGCAGTAGACTGAAGGGGTGGAAGTCTGGGTCAATGTAGAACAAGGGCTGAGCAGCATTTTAAAGGAAGCACTGCTCAGCCACTTAAGCTTATCAGGCGAGCATGATGGAGGGCGTAAGGGCACGGAGTTTCACAATTGGCTTTAATGAAGAATTCAATGATGTGCAAATCAGGTCTTCATTCCTTGTGAGCAGACAGATGTCAAGGCTTGAACTATTAATTTCTTAAAGATATGCTTTAAGGAAAATAGTATCAAGGTCCATTCATACTCCACTTGCTATGAAAATTTCGATATGTGAAACTGTATCCACGTCTGCCCCGGGTGAGCATTTCTTGTGATTTTATTGCAATTATTAACCATTATTATTAGTTTGTGGTGCTGGGGATCAAGCCCAGAGCCTGTCACACACTACTAGGCAAGTGTTCCACCATCAAGCTGTAACCCTGGCCCTGACATTTTACAAAATCCAGAGCAGTTGTAAAAGGAATCCATGTCCTCAGCCACTCATGTGGCACAAGGAGTAACTGAAATTTCATTTTAAAAGCTCTCCCTTTGAATACCCAGGCCCTCCAAAAATCCACGCTGCCCAAAACAAACATTGAGAGAATTTCGGCTGCAAAGAGCTCCCTCCACACAGGCTGATGCAGATCACAGCCCTGTCTGTGGCCCAAGGTGACAGAGAGGCTTTTGTAAGGAGCAGGATCCTCTCACTGGGCATTCAGTGTTCTCTTTAGACACTGGCTGTTCTGTTGCTGGGGTCTGGCCTGAAATGTACTCATCGCCTGGGGAAATGATGTGTAAACCCAACCACTGTGGACCTGAAGGCTGGCTCAGCTCAGGAGTGGGTAGCATGTGCAAGCGGCCCCCGCATGGTGGCTGAGGCATTGCTGGGGGAGGTTTGGCGAATCTAGTTCATTGTAACAGGGGGACGTGAGGGACAGAGAGGCGGCAGGGAAGGAAAAGAAGGTAGATGTTGCCTGTTTCAGTCACGGATTTGGAAAATTTAGTTTAGGGAAATTTTGGAGAAGAAATTATCATTTTGTAATTCTGCCAGAGGTTACATATTTAATCATGGCTATAATTATATAATTATAGCAAAAAAAATCCTTGCTTTCCAATTATCTATTTCATTGCTCTCAGGGATTGCTTTCTTATTAAAATATAGGAGGGAGAATGGCATTTGGAGAGAGCTCAAATGCCAATCTAAAACTGTGATTCATGGGCCTGCCCAGATGTTTTTCTAAGTTAATATTTTTTTATAGCTGGAAAAAGGAAAATCTAATCGGACTTCAAAGAAGACTTTAGCATACAGTAAAGTTTGGTTTTGTTGACGGATGTTTAGAAGAGAGGAAAACAGTTCTCACCATGAGCCCTCCTCCTTTAACAGTGGGCATCCGGGGGGGGGGGGGGGGGGGGGGGGGGGCTTAAAGCTAGACTCCCTCTCAAGATCTGCTCTCTTTCCGCCCTTTAATCGGCACGCTCTCCCAACCAGTGCTGCCTTGCTGTCTGTCTACTCCTTCTTTCACACGGGCCATCTCTCCTTTTCTTCCGTCTTCCTCACACCGAGTCTCTCCCTTCTCCATCGCCGCCTACCTGCATCTCAGCTTTCCTTGGGGGAGGACTTGGTTCCTTTGATGGGACCATGACGTCATCTGGTGAATTTTGAGCTTCAGATTCCTTTTTCAATAATATAGGCGAAACTTCCAAATTACAGTCCCTGGAGAGGGGCGTTCTGCTGCTGGAAGGTTCTCTGCCTGTGTGTTTCAGTAGTCTACAGGGTCTGGATTGATCACTCCCCAGGGTGCCCGATCAGGCCTGTGTTGTTCAGCCGGGCCCCCATTCTCTTCCCTGCCCTGTGAATATATTTGGCCAATTGAATCAGACAAGTCCCTGACAAGGGATTTCCTGCCTGCAAGCATAGGCCCCACAATCTGGAAACCCTGGGTTCAAATCAGGCCACTGTCATTTCTTAACCTTACGGCCCGGCCGGCACTGGGCCCATTAGTTTCTCTCTGTGCCTTGCTTTCATTCTTTACAAAATACCAGGCAGGGACGTCATTCTGATAGTGTAAATTGGAGAATTACAAGCAAGCAGTCACATGAAGTGCTCAGGACGGCTTCTGACTGTAACAGTGGTCCAGGAATGTCTTTCATTAGTTCGGTTTTGCTTCTGACATTGACGAGGGGAGCTAAGGGCAAAGCGGAAACTTAGTGAAGGCCTTGCAGCCTTTTCTCCCGCTGTCCTTAATGGGCAGTAGCGGGGGACCTTGCTCTCAATTAGCCCTACCCCTGAGACGCGGCCCTCCTTCCATGATACTCTGCTTCAATTCTGGGCCATTCCTGTGGAGGATCGGTCACTATGGCCATTTCACTGGTTAATTGTCCACCAAGAGGGTGAAATTTTAAAAACAAATCTTCTAATAGAAATTAGCATGTGGTTTTCTGGTACTTTCCAAATATAATGCCAGTAAAACTTTGTGATCTGGAGGAAACCTCAACAGAATTCTGCACAGGAACCTGTCTGGAATCTTCTAGGTCAATACACATTTTACCTGAAAGAAATATTGCTATCCCCTCTTGAAAGCTTTACTTTTTAATTTTTTTAAATTTTAATGCATTTTAATTAAAAATATAGTTAATATTGTTTTCTCCCTTTCATTTAAGCCTTATTATTATTATTTTTCTGAGACAGGGTTTTTTGGGTAGTTTTGGTACCTGTCCTGGATCTCGCTTTGTAGACCAGGCTGGCCTCGAACTCACAGAGATTTGCCTGGCTCTGCCTCCTGAGTGCTGGGATTAAAGGCATACGCCACCACCACCCGGCCTTAAGCCTTAATTTTTACATTTCATTTTTAAAGTATGTTTTCAACTGAATTAGAATTACATCATTTTTTCCCCCTTCCTTTCCTCCCTCCAACCTCCCCAGGTTCTCTCCGCCTAATCCCTCTCATATCTACTGTGACTATCATTGATAGCCTCTGTTTTTTTGATTATAATTGTTATACACACTCACATATACATGGATACGTATGCACATGTTAATACAATCTGCTGAGTCTGTTGGTGATATATATATTTATATATATGTATATATATGTATATATATGGTTTAAGGGCTAACTAGTCTGCATTGGACAACCTATAAGGGTCTCCTCAGAGGAAGAGAGTAATTCCCAACAGTCATTATTTGTCTGTAATTCTTTGTCTGGGGTGGGACCTGGAGAAAATGCCTCCTTCCACACTAACATGTCCATTGATACTGTCATTGTTACAGTCTTGTTTATGGAACCATCTCCAGGAGACAGTTTCACAGACGACTTCCTGGTGTTCTGGCCCTTACCGTCTTTCCACACTCTCTTCCTCCATGTTCCCTGAACCATAGATCCAGGAGCTGTAATGTAGACATATCCATTTGTGGCTGGGGCCCCCATGATCGGTTAATCTGTGCATTGTGTCCAGTTGTGGGTTTCTGTGATGGTCTCCATTAAAAAACCCTTCTTGGGTGTCACTATTGGAGAGCCTGGGATTTAAAGCCTACTGAGTGGAAAAAGATCATTTCATCATTATTTGTACAAACACACCTAGTATTTAAAAACTGTACTAAGTACCTTCAACATCTATCGGTTGTTCGAATCCCTGTCTTCTCTCTGTCTCCCTTCACAGCAGCGTCTCTCAGTTTGTTCAATGTTAAGCATTACACGTTCTGGGATTTTTGTGTGACATTGCATAATAGAGGCCACATGCCATTATTTTCACGTTGATGATCATTTGGCTATAGTGCCTTGTTATTTAAAGGCAGACATATGCTATATAGTTTGTTATAGTTGAACTAGAAGGGACACATATTTAAAGGCTATAGTCCTGAGTGCAGGCTCCTAGGACTTGTGGGCCCTTCTCTTATTTCCAGTGACCTCTGCTCTCGATTCCTTCTTATGGACAGGAGCCAGAACCATCCTCCCTTATGGGCTCATCTAGGAGAAAATACGCACATGCAGATACATGTAAAGCGCACAGAGCAGGGCCTTGCTAAGCCCCACACTATAGACTGGCCCAGGTCACACACCCTGACAAAGGTATCTCCAGTTATAAGTGGTGGAGGGAAATATTTGTGCTTCCTGAGTCTAGGTTCATGTAAAAGACAAAATGACAGGTTTTTCCAATGTGATTAGTTCTCTTTGTCACCATAGTTACCTGATGCGAGTGTATCCCCAACCTTGTATTTTTCTGCCTTTCTCCCAGAGCTGTGCAGATCTCAAAAAATGAGCCCTGGGCCTTTAATCCCCTCTTCTTCATTCTCTCAGCAGAGCCAGCTAGGGCTGTTGCTGAGGTAGGTCATCTCATTAAGGGACATCCCTGCCTGCCTGCTGCCACTGAACTGCCCATGTGTGACCAGTAGCTCAGCACTCAGAGAATTTCAAGGAAAAATATTTAATAATAAATCCTGGCTTCTCTGTGCATTCCAACTCACTAGGGAAAGAAATAAATTAAATGAAGAATCTTGTGAAACACCACAGAAATAAGCTCAGCATAAAAAAACCAAACAAAAAAATGTAACTTCGGGGTAAATCCCCAAAGATTAAATAGCCGTTCCGTTCATCATCAGATTGTCCACTTAACTGACAATCACTTGCATGTCTTTTCCCTTCATTTGTGTGTACGCACTGTTTCATTTTTGTAAAGCGTTAGGGGAAAAGGCTCCTTCTCCATCCGTGTAACATGCCTGCCCTCTAGTGTCTGTACAGAGAATGACCTACACATTTCTTTTAATGGATTTCTTTTAAAAATCTTGAAAACTTTTGTCAGTGTGGCCATTGATTTTTCAGAGAGCCAACTAGTCATTAGGTAGTTGGTGAAGTCAACAGACCCACAGGCTGGGCAAGGCATTTGTCTGGGGGGGGTGAGGGAGTCTTCAGACCTTGGTTGTCTCTTCTTAGCCCACATAGGGCTTCAGATGGACACTACCGTAGCTGCTGAACCAAGCATTTGTGTCCACTTTGTGAGCAGTTACAGTGAATCATCTCCAGCTGTAATATAATGTCACCTCTCAACAAGTCTAGAGCATCCTGGAGGGTGTAACTGTGGAGTTAAGGCTCCCAAGAAACTGATGAGCTTAATTATGGTAAGGCTGTTACCCGACCCAAGGCATGAACACAGGGCAAAACCCATAAAATATTTTAGTTTCTTATAATAGAGACCTAAAACAAAAAATCAATCCTAAATTTTTGTTATTGGGTCTCTTTTTTATTTCCTAGTCAATTCAGACCCAAAAACGTCACCACCAACATCACCACCACCACACACATAACCTCAGGAGAGCTGACCAATCATTACTGATGGGAGGATAGTTCAGCTAGAGTAGTGGTAAAGGGTCCTTATCGCTAACCACAGTGTTTTCCAGCTCTGTGATTTGGAGACTAGCCTTCTTAACTCTGTTTCCATAGAAGGGAAATGAGGTCAACAATGAACGTAGCATATGGCATGTGAGGGGAGGTCACTGTAGCGTGCTGACGATGCTGGTGATGATGACATCATCCAGAGCTACCAAGGGTGTACATTGTTGGTGCCCTTGCTGAAGGCTGACTAGGGTTAACTCTGCATCTCCTAAGGTGAGTCAAGGATAGAAAGGACAGTGTCACCAACTCTACTCTCAAAGGTCAAGAAGAAATTTGAATAAACTCAGCAAGTCAAAACAAACCAAAATAAAATGCCCATGTCCCTTAAGATGTGTTGGATCAGAGCCAGGCCTGGTAGCTCCTGCCTGGAATCCTAGCGCTTGGGAGGCAGAGGTAGAAGGTTGAGGCCAGCCTGGGCTACATAGTGAATGGGGCCAACCTAATCCACAGAGTAAAGATCCTCATACCACTCCCAGTGTGTTAGCTGGGAAACTATATGTGAGAATGTAAGTAAGAATCTCTCTGGTTTTGTTATTGTTTGTTTGTTTGAGGCAGGGTCTTATTCTGCATTCCTGACTGGCCTTGAACTCTCTATGTTGAGCATGCTGCTCAAATTCATAGAGATCCACCCGCCTCTGCCTCCCACATGCTTGGATTAAAGGCATGGGCCATCACATCTGGCTGAACAAATTCCCTTTAACGTCTTAGGGAGGGGACTATTTTACTAACAAGAAGTAAAAATTTGAAACAGTTGCTTACTCCCAAAATGGGAAGGTCTGATTTGAATCACTGGCTGGTGTTCCCTGTGGTAGCTGCTAGCAGGAGCAGTGCTGGGGGCATCCATCCTCCAGCGACCACTTAGTCACTCCCCTCTGGTGTTCCCCCAAATGGGCACAGAACACTAGTCCTTTTCATTACGCTCATATTATTTATTTTCTTTTAGTAAAGACAGTGGGACATTTCCTAATCTAGGCCTGTCGGTTGATGACATTTGTTGCCAAGAATTCTTCTCTCTACAGGGTTACAGTTCTTGGCTTTGAGTGTGGGGGTCTCTGTGACAGCCACTCAGCCATGGCTTTGCCTTCCAAAAACAGCTACAGATAATATGTAAACTAATGAGCATGCCTATGTCCTAATACAGCCATTTTTACAAATAAGATTTGGCCTGCCTAGAGGTGGCCTAATCTACACTACCTGCCTAGAGGTTGGCCTAATCTACCCTACCTGCCTAGAGGTTGGCCTAATCTACCCTACCTGCCTAGAGGTTGGCCTAATCTACCCTACCTGCCTAGAGGTTGGCCTAATCTACCCTACCTGCCTAGAGGTTGGCCTAATCTACCCTACCTGCCTAGAGGTTGGCCTTATCTATGCTACCTGCCTAGAGGTTGGCCTTATCTATGCTGCCTGCCTAGAGGTTGGTCTAATCTACCCTACCTGCCTAGAGATTGGCCTTATCTCTGCTACCTGCCTAGCCACCCCATGATCTTTGGACTTTGACTTCTTCTGTGAGCACGGTCAGTTTCTCCTGGTTTTGATGGACAGATTTGACATATTTCAGTGGGCCATTGCTATTGATAAGGTCCATGAAAATCACCTTTTATATGTAGTTAGACGAGGCCTATTTTTTAAACTAAAAAAAAAAAATCAACTTAACCTTTAACTGTCTCTAATGTCAGGGGATGGAGAGGTCTCTGCTGCAGGATCGGTACTGGTAGCCTTATCTATAGATGCTGTGGATGAGGAAAAGCCTTTCTGCCATTAGAGGAAATGCATAATCACCTGCTTCATCTCAACTTATAGTTGGATAAAAGCCTATGAGATAATTTATTGGAAATAACACATTTCTGCTTAACTATAGCCTCGAGATGCATAATTCGAAGATAATTATTCTCCCTTAAATCTTGCTAATGGTTTGCCCTCTAACACTGCTTTGTGCAGGGCTTGATGTAAAACACACAGGAGAATAAGATGTGTGTAAAATAGGGTCTCCCACCCACCTTTACTTCAAACTATGTGAGATATGTAATAATAGTACCATTAAATATGACCAGGTCATTCCAGTAAGATGTATGTAATTAGACCACTAAAATAGGAAAAAAAAAAAAAAGACTGAAGACCCTGGAAAATCAGGAGAGTACCTCTACTTACGCAAATGTGTAATTGGATGTGAAGATTTGGCTTTCAGCTTCTCCACAGAGTGAGTGCCTAAGATAAGGGAGCTGAGACGGATAAGGATCCCTGTAACAAGAATGTCCTAGCGGATGCAGCTGCCTCTACACAGCTTTCTTAGGATCGCTTTTGTGGTAACAGGATGAAAGCATTGCTGAGGCAAAGGGGGACACATCCAATAGAAAGTCCTCTTGGTTGTGGGCACTGTGTCTCAGATTATGTGCCCTACTGGGCAAACACGGCAAAAGAAATGTCCACAAGGAACTCTCTGTGGTGAAACTCATGTCAGGGTAAGATTATGGAATTTTTTTTGTAGGCAGCATGGTGTGGTCCTCTAAAGGACCTTAATAAATAATATTTAATAACTGAGACAGTCCCCATTTAACCGATGCTGTCACTCACAGAAATTAACAATAACAAACACATCATCCCATTTTGTGGATGATGATATCAGAGATTTTTTTTTTTTTGCCGATTCTACTGGTTCTAAAATGGCAGAGTTAAAACTTAAAACCATTTGTCCTGAAAGTCTGTGTGTATTTAATTTCTTAATTATGCTTATCTTTGTCTGGGTGTGGATCACTATTAGAAGTTAATACTGCCCATGAGAAAGACAATGTGAGCCGTAAGTCAGCACAGCACGTGTGATTTTGAATCTTCCAGTAGCCAAGGTGCAGAGTCAAGTGAAATTAACTTTAATAATACAGCTAGTCCCTGACGTAAGATGATTAGCCTCAGATTTTTCCACTTTGTGATGACATTAAGGGAGACAAATTTTGTAGACACTTCACTTAAAATTTCTGAATTTTGATCTTTTTATGGAATTACTGATACATGCTATGATATTCTCTCTTGATGCCAGGAGGCACAAAGTTGGCTATGCATTCACTAATGAAAAGACCTGCTACCCTGCAGTGTGCTGGGTTGCTAAGTCATGATGTTTGGAAGGTTGGGTGCATTTTTTACTTAACTATGTCCTCAACATAACCACATTATAAATTGAGAGAATCTTGTGGCATTTATTTAACCCACTAGGTTCAAAATATTATTGTAGCAGGTAGTAAGTCTAAAATTTGTTAATAAAATATTTTATGCCTTTTCCATGGTAAACCTTCAAATTTCAGCTTTATTTTATGCCTATGGTTCACCTAAGTTTGGGCCAGCCACATTTCAGTATTCAGTAGACATATTTAGCTAGAGGCCACCATGATGGAAATGTGAGAGACATACATGGAAGTCACTTTCTGCCTTTGATTTCTATGAATCCCACATCCACCAGTGGGGTTCCCCATCTCATCATCATGCGTGATCTCCAAGGGCATTTGCTAAGCATCTTGTTGCACACTGCTAGGCTGTTCGGTCTAGTATCTCCTGCTAATCAACAGCTTGATCACACGTATGGGTTTTTATCTGTTTCAGGTGATCCAGGTCCTGCCAGCTATGGGAAGAATGGCCGAGATGGAGAGCAAGGACCCCCAGGAGTGGCAGGAATTCCTGGTGTGCCTGGACCCCCAGGTCCTCCAGGCCCTCCTGGTTTCTGTGAGCCAGCCTCTTGCACCCTGCAGGCTGGTCAACGAGCATTTAGCAAAGGGCCTGAGAAGTGAAAGCCTTAGAGCGTTATAGGCCCTCTACTCTGTACCTGGTAGAGAAGCATGGGGGAGAAATAACATCCAAAGCTGGGGTAAGACTAAAAGGTTTCATCTTCAACGTGATTCCACAAATCCTACTTGACAATCAGATTTAGAACAACGGTGCTATCCAGTGAGTCTTGTTCCTTATCCATGAGAGGAAGACGGGGGAGTCATCAGACAAAAATCAAATTCCCTCTAGCCAAATTAATGCTCTTCTTCCCAGGATCTTGAACTTTAGTGTGTTATAAATAAGTATGTGATTTATTGTGGGCCACTGTGCCGACAAACAAAAACAACTGTCCAGTTTACCTCGGTTGCTGTAGTTATCTCATTTCAGTCTAGATACTGCTCTTGGATTATTAATTCAGTTATATCAAGTATTACTAGGAGAGTAAGGAAGAAACCCCACTACATTCAATAAAATTGGTGCTTAAAATCTCCATCAGGGATTTGTCACAGACGTGGTCTCTTTCCATCATACAGTGGTTTCCATCTTTATTCTGAATTTGTGACTTGTATGTACTGTATCCCAAACCCATTCATATTTTAAGATCTCCTATGTGAAAGCAAAGAAGTAATTTTAATACCCTGACATGCATACATTTTATTGCTGACATTATTTATTTTAAAAGTTTGAGGTAACATCTCTGATTGTACCAAAGAACAAATAAACATGGTTTCACAATCTTTTGTATGTTTCTAAAGAAATAGTCATGTTAAATGTGGTTAAATGTTAACTGAACTTGTTTATATACATTAAAATTTTGACGTATTGCTACTTCTAAAAATGTATTTATGTTATTGGTTTATTCCATCCAGAGATATCTGAAACGTTCCTACTGGTCCATAGGGTTACCCTGTGACAGATTGTGTGTGTGTGTGTGTGTGTGTGTGTGTGTGTGTGTGTGTGCGCGCGTGCGCACGCGTGTGTGCTAACTTAATGGATTTCTTTGAAATTCTAACGAGAACTATAAACTCATTTCCTTTAGAAGAATGTGCATGCACTTTGTACAGTATTTCAGAGAGTTCACAGAGCTCTATAAATCTAGTTTTGGTTTCTAAGTTAGGACCACACCTTCATTTCAGAAGTTGTTAGCTCCCTTTTGGAACCTCATTGATACAAAAATGACTTACCACTTTTTATTAGTTTTACAAATCAAGTTACCTAAGGCACCACATTCTTTTAAAAATTTAGATAATTTAGGGTTACATTATGATAATTAAATACATGTGTACAATGTATAATAATTAAATCAGGGCAATACTCCATTTCCATTTCTTCAATTATTATGGTCTATGTGTTGGGAATTGTATGCTTTAGTCATTTTGAAATTCATCATAGATGACTTCACCTGGTAGTTACCCTGATATGTTAAAGATGAACTCTAATTCCTCCAGTCTGGGTTTCGATGCCCTGTATGAAACTCCTTCCCATTCTATCTCTGTTCCTCACACCCCAGTCTCCAGGGACCACAATTCCATTCTAGTTTCCACAGAACGGCAAGAACATGTGGCATTTGTTTTTCCATGTCACATGACATGGAAAGTCATGTGACTACATCCATTCATATTCTTGTCAGTAAGACACCATTGTTTTTGTGCCCACACATACAAAGACACATTTCTTTGTTAATTCATCCACTGAAGGGCACAGATGTTGGTTCCATAGTTTGGCTATTGCATAGTGCTGCTGCAATAGACATGGAGTCTTTGTTACTAATGGACAGGAGTTTGTTGTTAAAATGATTTAATCTTCTTTGGATATATATATATACATATATATATATATATATATATGTATATATATACACATAGACACACAGTGGTTGAATTTTATGTTATTTGTACTTGTATTTTTTTTTATATTTTTGAATCTCCATACTGTTTTTCATAATGACTCTATTACAATCTCACTACTAGTCTGTAGGACTTCTCTTTTCTCTACGTCCTTGCTACCATTTGTCAGTTTTGTCTTATATGATAGCTATCAAAGTACAGTTGGATTGTGGCTTGTTTCACATTCTCTACTGATCACTGAGGTTTTGTTTCATGCACTCGCTGGTTATTTATATATCTTGACTTCTTTTGAGAAGTATCTGTATTCTTTGGCAATTTTAAAATTGGATATTTGTCTTGTTCAGTTTAGTTTCCTACAAATTCTGGATCTCACTCATTTATTGGAGAAACAATTTGCACATACAAATAGAAAAGGAAGGAATAAAATTATCCCTATTTGTAGATGATATGATTTTATGTATAATAAACTCGAGAGCTCACCAGAAAACCCTTAGAATCAGCGAACCTTCAGTGAAGTAGCAGGATACAAAGTAAGGAACTTTCTAACATACTGATAATGAACACACAGAGAAAAAAAGTCAGGAAAACAATCTTTCACTATAGTGCAAAAAATAAATAGGAATGATCCTAACTAAGGGTGTGACAGCCCTCTACAAGGAAAATATCAAGACACTAGAGAAAGAATAAGAACACTAGAATGTGGGAAACCTTTCCATGCTTACAGATTGGTAAAAATAATAGAGTGAAAATGGCTATATTACCAAAAGTGAGTTCTAGATCCAGTGTGATCCCTCAAAAATTTCAGTAACATTCTTCACAGAACCTGGAAAAAGTGCTAAAATTTATATAGATTCATGAAGGACTACAGACAGCCAAAGTAATTGCAAGCAAGAAGATTATTGTGGTGGGCACCACACTAGCCGATTGTGACTTACACTACAGAACAACAGTAACCAAGCCAGCATGGGTCTGCCACACAGCAGCACATGTATCAGTGGAATACAACAAGGGCACAGAATTAAACCCAGACACTCAGGGTTTTTTGTTTTTATTTTATTTTTATGACAAAGATGCCAAAAAATACATTGGAGAAAAGATGGCCTTTTTAGTAAATAGTAGTGGGAAAAGTGTCTAGCATGTGTAGGAGAATGAAATGAGGTCCTTCTCTTCACAAATGTGCAAAAATCAATCTAAAATATATAAAATATTTTAAGGCCTGAAAATTTGAAACTATTTAAATAAAATATAGTGAAGAGACTCCAACAGACAGGAGTACACAAGGACTTTCTGAAAAGAACGGCAATAGCTCAAGAAATAAAGTCAAGAATTGACAAAATGAATTACATGAAATTAAAAAAGCTTTTGAGGGCTGGAGAGATGGCTCAGAGGTTAAGGGCACTGGCTGCTCTTCCAGAGGTCTTGAGTTCAATTCCCAGCACCCACATGGCAGCTCACAGCCATCTATAATGAGAGCTGGTGCCCTCTTCTGGCCTGCAGGGACACATGCAGGCAGAACACTGTATACATAATAAATAAATAAATCTTAAAAAAAAAAAAGCTTTTGAACAGCAAAGGCGACGATCATTTGGGTAATTAGATAGCCCAAAGCATAGGGGAAATCTTTGCTAGCTAATAACTGACAGAGGATTAATTTCTAGAATATATAAAGAACTCAAAGAACTAAATGCCAAACCCCCAATCATTTGATCAGCCAATCAATGTTCTGATGAAATGAATTGACAGTTTTCAAAAGGTATTTTTAGATAGTAATAAAAATAGAAAAACAACATGTTTATGTAAACCATGCTGACATGCTCGAGGGGCCAGAACTATCCAATCCCAAAAGATGGCCATAAACACTAGGGGACCATTGCAGGAGAGAGGGAGAAGCATTTTAAGAGTCTGAAGCGGTGGCTGACTCGAATGGAATACTTGTCTGGACAGAATGGAGCATCTGCACATATGAACTCGGCAGCTGTGATGGAATATACAAGACCCGCTCAAGATCAGTCTAGAGAAAACTCCCAGTATGGAGAAGGGATGTGGGCACAAAATCCTACCTCTAGCTGAAGAGCTATGAGAGAGGGGGAGTCAGCTTTCTTTGAGGGAGTGGTCCTTGAAGGTAGGTAGACCATGTTCCAGTGGATGGCCACAAACCCAAGAGTATACAGTTGGCACAAACTGGATTTGATGTGTTTTTTTTTTTTTAAAAATGACACAAAGTTGGGTAGGTAGGTAGGGTTTGGGGGAGGGGAGGTGAATATGTCGAAAATGCATGGTACACTATTCCCCTCCAAATTTTAAGAGATATGAAAAATATTCAACAACTTTTGCAATCAAGGAAGTGAAAATTAACTACATGAAGATTCCATCTCCTCCCAGTCACTCTTAACAAAAAGAAAAAATTAAAACAACCTAGCAGCAAATGCTAGGGAGGATGTGGGGAAGGGTGAATTCTTATACACTGCTGATCCAAATGTAAATTAGCTTAGCCACTGTGGAATTCAGTATAGAAGTGTCTTTAAAACCTACACATAGAGCAACCATATGACCCAGGTTTAATACTTCTGGGTGTATCAGTCAACATACCACAGAGATGGTATGCAAGACACAACTACAGATCCCTGTTTGTTAAGCAACAATATTCACAATAACCAAATTGGAGAATCTGTCTAGGTATCTGCCAACAGAGGAACAGATAAAGAAAATGTGAAATGTGAAGTATATATAGAATGTAGTTTTATTGAGTCATAAAGAAAAACTTAATGATGTCATTTTCTGGAAAATGGATATAGCTGGAGATCATATTAAGTAATGTAAATGAGATGTAGAAATAAAAATATCGTGTTTTCTCTCTTGTGGGTCCTAGGACTCTTTATAGGTCCACAAAATCATCTATCTGTATATCTGTATATATATATTCATATGTATGTATACATAGGATGTGAAAGCAAGAGGGAGAGGAGGGGAGGGCCGTCCACGAGCTGGGGAGTGAAGAGAAGGACTAAAGGGCAGAAATGGTGAGGGGTGGGTATGTCATCCTACACTGGACAAGATCGTCTACATAAAACCGAACACAAACACAGTGAATATGCTTTAAATATAAAAACTAAACAATGTCTTTTCTACTACCACTGGTTGGAATGTTCTGTAAATGTCTGTTGAGTCTAGTATGATTCGGTTTAGATAGTTTTCTTTTGCAAACTGTCTGAATGATCTGCCCATTGCGGAAAATGAGGTTAAAATCTCCAATATTAGTGTATTAGAGCCCACCTCTCCCTTTTAAAAAGTTTATATTCTTAACAATCGATATTTCCTGACCCTTCAAGTACTTTATCACTGTTTACATGAACACGTTGGCTTGCTATTCCATCAACATGTACTGGAACTACCAACCAGAGCTAATGTATATACTATGTCATAATGCATCTTTGAGACTTGTCCCACATAGAGACAATAGGTCCAAGGTCAGTTTCCCCAGTTAGTTTATGAAACTCAGATCAAAGAAGAGTAGGTTCCTATGGTATGTTTATGTCAAATGTGTCTCATGTGAATTTTTTATATATGAGTTGTTTGGTTAAAGCAAACATGAAATCTGTATTATGGGATTTCTTTAAATTGTTTCTAGCATGTAGTTCTGTGCATCTATTATGAATCCTTCTTTTTTTTTTTTGAAATTTTATGTGCATTGGTGTTTGGCCTGCATGTATGTCTGTGTGAGGGCTTTGGGTCTCCTGGAACTGGAGTTACAGACAGGTATGAGCTACCATATGGGTACTGGGAATTGAACCCCGGTCCTCTGAAAGACTAGCCAGTGCTCTTAACTGCTGAGCCATCTCTCCAGCCCCGTGAGTCCTTCTTAAAGAGAAAGGTTACAATTTGGTTACATAGACTAGCACCACTTATCTAGATTATCCTTCCTCCTGTTTGGAAGATAGTTTTTAGAAGTGGAGGCATCTGTTACAGTTCTCTACGGCATATTACGTAAAAATGGTATGTACTTTCTAGAGCTATGACACAAACAGGCAAAGAAATGATCTTTTCATCAAAGTGCTTTTATTTTAATTGGAGTGACATAATCAAATACAGGGAAAGAAAAATGAAGCAATTAAACATGTTCTTCAGTCCTATAACATCATATTCATAAGAAATAAAAATAACAAAATTTCAAATATCAGTTCACCCAACTGTTACACAAACCTGATACATATCCAGGCTGTACAACAAGATCCACAAGATACAATAAGTAATGTTGGGGACAGCCACTTACAGATAGCTTATGCAAAACTGGCACATCCCAAATGGCAGGAACAACCAACCCACTGTCTATTTCAGTTAAATAAAACGTTTACAGAAGCACTAATATTTGACGAAAAACTTGCAAAGAAAATTGCCTAGTGAATGCTCTCCATGAAAGACAGCTACTAAACCCAGGCAGACCTGGGATGCATCCCCAGCAGAACCTCCCAGAATCTCCACATCTCTTTCGATGTGGTTTTAAAAGTTGGATAGTGTCCATCAGAGAACGTGTCAAGAGGGGAATGTGTAGGTAATTGAAGTTGCTCAGAAATGGGCACATTAGTCAAGAGCAAATGATTTCTGGTTTATTTCTACTCAGTGCTCCTGTGGCAGTATGATTTGATGTTTACTCCAGATAGCCAACAGGTTAGATAAGAAGTATGAAAATCATTTTCCAGTCTGAGCACATAAATTTGCTGATGGATTTTGGGTAATTATCTTCTGTATGTCAGAAAAGTATGAATGAGTAGTTACATCATTTGGTGACCAACGTGAAATACTTTATATTTCAAGCTGGTTGAACCAATATTGCTATCCTTAAACATTATGAGATCTGACCCCAAATGTGCTTAATTTTAATCCCTGCTTCGGAGATCACTTGTGATTGAATTATTTAATTTTGGAGATATCATAATGTTTCTGAGGTATAAAATCTCCAGGTTTAAAGTGAACCAATATTGGTGGGAAATACCTCATGACACAAATAATCCCAAATATCAAGAGAATTACTTTTAAACATGTTGGTAACCCTGGGAAAGGGAGTATAAAAACAGCACTAAAAACGAAATGTTAGTGAGTTACTTATTTTGGAAATGGAAAATGGCCATATACAATCTTGAAACTGTGAGATAATGTTTGTGCTTAAGACTTATAGGTTATCATTTAAGTACATACTTTTAAGTTATGTACTTAAGTTGTTTTAGTGAACTTGTGATGCCAAACATTAAGTACCAATGTCTCAGCAAATATTAAATACAAATTGGCTCGTTATAATACTGTATATTAATACATGTGCTCAAATGGTACTTAGAAGGTTATCCAAAGAACTGTAACATGCTTGGCAGATCTGGTTATTGGAAAGAGGATGCTGTCTGATAGATATTTGTAGTCTTAACAAGTGGCAATTCATATTAACTCTCTGTTTCCCATGCTTCTGTGTGCTGCCTTTCATGCTACCTTAGTAACTGAAGAGAACAGATGGGGAAATTGACTCCAAGAAACTTTTTGGGATTTGTGTCTTCTTTTCAAGTTTATTTTGGCATGTTTTTACTTGGTCTCCAAGTTCACAGTTGCATATGAGAAGGCAACAATATTATTTAGAGAGCACCCACTTAATTTATCATAAGGGAATATGAAGGTAAGATTAGTTAAGAACTCTTGAAGTCATTAGCTATTCCATCTAGACACTTAAAGCCGCTGGCATATTTTAATCAATTTTTGTTAGAAAACACATTGAGTATTTAAATAGTTATTGCCACTCTAAGGAACTTACTATATGAGGAACATTAATCATGATGCTTCTTAACTTTCTAAGAGTTCTCTCTAGCAAAGAGTCTAACTCGATTTTAATCTCTGTTAGAAGAGAGCATCATTGTGGGCTCTCTCTGACTTTTGTTTCTGTTTGTAATTCTCATCTGAAATCAATATACCAGGCTTTTCATAGGCTCCCAGGGAGGCAGATTATAAACTCAAACTGTGAGCACCAGCGTGGTAGAAATATTAGCCTCATAGTAGACCAGTCTCAGGCTCCCTGGAGGCTGTGGAGCTTGCTCTTGGTTTGAGAGTGATTGTGAAGCCTCAGAGTGGCCAAGACCTAAGAATAGAATTGGAGTGGACCTTTGGCTACTGAGAAGGACTAAAGTGTAGACACAGTGTAAAGAATTGCACCTTAAGAGTTCCCTGATTTAGAGTCAATTCCTTTATTGCTGAAAGAGGCAAGACATTCATGACGCAAAATGAAGCTAGAGGAACCAAGGTCTGAAAGCGTATATTCACTGGAATTTATAATAAAGTGAGTAGCATTTCACTTAATGCGAGTGTAATAAAATAAACCTTAAATAGCTGATGAGGTAAGATAGTGAACAAACAAAATGGAGAAAAATATATCCCAAACGTTATTTTAAAAATAAATAGTTATAAAATATTCCATAACACAATCTGAATGCAAATTCACCACAAGTATTTATCCTCTAAATACACTGTAAGTATCACAGCAAAATAAAAAGTTGTAAAATTGCATCTTCATGCTCGTAAGCTTATTATGGTCAAGCCACACCAGCCTTGTGTTAAAATTTCAGTAGTTAGCCCTAAGTTTAGTGATGCCTACGTTACTAGCATTCACTTTGGACAAATTTATGAAGCAAGTAGCCGACTTCTTGAGTCACACCATATATCACTACCGGAATTGAACTTGAAAATTTTTCCATGGAGCTGTTTCTTGCTAGACTAAGTTTCACCTTGTCTTTTGGAGAATTATTTTCTTGCTGGTCTACTTGTCTGAATTAGTGTTCTCTGTGTCTGCCTGAAACTTCATTCCCTCTGACCAAACTGATGCCATTTTCTATGTGGTTTTGTTCAGTGGAATGTTGACATGATAGCTCCAGATACATCAGTAAGTAAAAACAGAAACCACCTCTTTTCCTGTTTCCTGTAACTCCCACTCATTGAACAAATGTAATGTAACAAATGCTACTTTACACACTGACTGATGAAGAAATACAAGTCAATGGGCTGCACCATGACCTGATGCTCACGACTTAAAGGGTTCTATTTAAACTCTCCTGAATCTCCTCATAGGGGTCTGTTTAATCTCTGAGAGGAATGGAATAAAAAGGGAGTGTATGCTGTATTCCAAAGCCAGGAGAGAAAACCCTGTGTGTCTTCACACAGTAGATACGTCCAGACAAGTGCAGAAAATAATTTAAGAACAAGGGCAAATGTCAACTTTTCCCTGGGTCATTCAAATAACATCAATATCACTGCACCTGCTTCCAGTATTACCAACATTAGAAAAAAGATGGCATTAAAAAAAAAGATGGCATTTTGAAAATCAGTTTTCTTACTTTTTTTTGGTAAATAGTGACATATTTCTAGAAAAATAGACATTGTACAAATTTAATTGCAAAATTTATCTTGAGCAATAAGGAGTTTAGACATTGTATAATGTATAACTTGTCTACTTCTTGTGGTAAGCTAAATGTGTTTCATTGTCAAAAGAATATTTGCCCTGTCTGCAGGGGAGGATGCATACTTAGGTGTGTGCACATTAGTCATTAAAATTCAAGAGTAGCATAAGACAACCTTATAGCAAATTTGCATGTCACATATGGGTATACACATAATAAATAAATAAAAATGAAACAACCCACAAGCCAAATGCTATGGTGCCTGCCTCACAAAGATACTGAAAATTCTGAAAAAAACACAAATTAATGAAATGAAATATAGTTTACAAAGACTATTTACAAAACAAAGAAAGTGCCAAGGCCAATGTCTGATTTAATCGTCCACCAAACTTTTCTAAATTTTAGACTTCTGTGAGCCTGTTCCGTTCTGAACAAATTGCCTCAAACACCATCTTGTGGACAAAAGGAGGTATATAATAAGTTTCTCAGAAATGAGAGAGGCTGCAGAAGAGCTGAGCAGAAGAGCTAAACCATATTTAAAGTCTAAGACATAGCCGTAGAGATAACTTTATAAACTCAACATCGGATGGCAATGTGTATAGGCAGTATATCGTGAAATAATTCTTTAAGTTCCATAAACAGGCAAAATTTTAATTTCCAACTATATCATGAAAGACAGAAAAAAGCACATGAGGTTAAAGTCATTCAACGGCTCTCAGATCAAGGGAAGAAGATGAAAAACTCAAGACTGACTGTTGTGCTTCTGTTGTGGTAAGAAGTACTAGTCAATGCTATCAGTTGGCAAGAACAGTGGACGCATGCCCAGGTCACTCTCTTTCTTTTGACTCCAAAAGCCAGAAAAATGAACTGAGAATAGATCTTCTCTGCACAGGAATATTTCTACCTAAAATTGCTAACTCAACTGGCATAAAATTTAGAACTTGAATTCTAAAATCCTTGTTTATGAAAAAAAAAACAGTTTTAATATTGTCATCATGACCTGTAATTATTTTGTATTTAAAACATATCTGTAGTACAAATGAGAGAAAATTAATAATTCTTCTCCTTTGCTAAAGATAACACCTGACATAAACAGCTTTTTTTTTTTTAAATGAAACAAATGGTTATTTAGAGGAACATTTCCTATCCTACTTTGGGGACCGAATTATCCTTTTTTTTTTTTTTTTTATTGAAGGGTTGAGTACCTGCTAATCTCTTTGTTACATTAGCTAGACTTTGTAGCCCTTTATTATGAACAGAACTGAGACAGAAAAAAACAGCTTTCAAGATAAATAACAGCGGGTTGAGGGTTTGTGCTATTGAAGCACAGTCCCAGCTCTCTAGTCATGTCAGACTTAATCACATGTCCCAGTTTTTAAAAAATGAACTTGAATCACGGTGACAGGCCACTTCTCAATATGCATCATGTAACATATTTATCCCCTACACTCCTCAAGTCATGTGATCAAATCTAAATCCTTGAAACAGGAATAAGCCAGTCATACATTAAAAAGGAAGAAGAATAAAGGAAAAATTCTATACAATTTGTAAGAGAGCTTTCTGTTCTGTGGACCTGAAGTGAATGTAAATGATGCAATTTACCAAGCAAGAAAATGAACTGCATCTTTTTATACATATGAACTGATCAACTAAAAAAAACCCAAATACATTGATCATCAGCCAAATGTTCATGAAAATATTAAAACTATAAAATAAATAGTTTTTGAGTAAGCCAAAAGGCAAAAGGATAAATAACCAGTCAATTAATATGAAAAATAATCTTTGAAAACATATAAAAGTCTTAGCTCTACAGCAAATTCAAGTAAATTAATATGTGTCAGGTAAGTTTTAAGTTTTCAGAAAATTTAACAAATCAAAAGCTCAAAATATACATATAGCACCATCTTTTCACCTTATGTACATTTTGGGGGGTAGATTATCATTTGATTATGAAGATACATATGCAAATGTTTGCATATTCCAATTTTGTGAGTTTAAAACACAGCACCATTGCAAGTATTGCATAAGAAAGAAAATAAAGGAATAAGCAATATAATGTTTAAAACATGAAGAATAAATAAAGTAGACTTGGAAAATAAATAAACTTGGATGGAAATATACAGCCAAACTCAATATTAAATACCCAAAAAGCTATATTATGCACAGCCATGTTGACAGTACCTGGCCAGCAGCTCATCTATTTGTCAATGAAAACCAGTTCAAATCATGGGTGCATTTAAACAAACTCTGCCTTATGTCAGGCATGCTTCCCATTCACAGCTCTCCCCACTCCCTGTGGGCTTGCTTTTCTAAACTCATTGTCTGTTTCGATTAATAGACAGAAGGCATCACCCTGTCCTGTGGAATATGTGCTGCTCCTTGAGGTGTGAACTTGTCTCTGTGACCGGAGGGCTCTGGTGGCACGTGTTCATCTTCTGTGGGATCCAACCAGCTAGATCCCTGCAACATCCTTGTGCTGAATAGTCTAGAAAATCAGTTGTTTCCCACAAAAGGTTTCTCCAAACAATGAATAGGTAGGGAGTAAAAAATACTGTTGAGTAATTCAGTTAAGTCCACTGGAATTTTGCTTCCTTTCAGAGCATATGTTTGGTTTATTTTATTTTAATTTTTTTCCCCCAGAGCTGAGGACCAAACTCAAGGCCTTGAGCCTGCCAGAAAAGCCCTCTACCACTAAGCTAAATCTCCAAAACCAGAACATAGGGTTTTGAAGCATGTAGTGATTTTCACGTGGTGGGTCTGGTTTTCCTCTATTGAACTCGACCTCTTTCTGGAGCTCCTGAGAAAACGGTATTCTCCTTAAGACCACGTGTGCTTCACGTACTTGCATGTATTTGCTGACCCGTCATCCTCACTTTGCAGGGTGAGTACTCTTCTGTTCCCATCATTACAAACCCCGTGCTTTGCTCCGATGGTGGGTCTGGGGATCACAGAGTCAGAAGAATAATGCATCAAAGAGCACCAAGGTCTTGCCAGGCTACTAAAGCTTGTCAAGTACCAAAGACTTGGTGCTTTGCCTTCATCACCAAACACCTCTTAGGGAAAACCACTTTCTGTTCCCTGTTGGAAACTCACTGACATGAGCACAGGGTCAGTTGGGGTCTTCCATTTTCATGTAGCATGTGTTCATGAGGAGTTCGTGAGGAGTGCTTCCAATGGAGCTCACAGCTAGAAAGTCACAAAATTTCAGCAGTTGGCAATGATGAGTTTGGGGGCTCCCTGATAAAGAGCTCCCATAGTTTGTTTTTTGAAAAATAAATGAAAAGTGAATCTCTTATTGCCTGTTTTTCTGTATAAATAGAATGAATGTAGGATGGTATAAGACTTCTTGTGAAAATCAGTCATAGAACAGTCAACAGTAGTAATGCACTGTCTCAGTCTCAAAAGAGCAGAATGAAAATGTTAAGCAACAACAGTAAATTTAAAGATGAAGAAAATATCAAGATAAACTTGAAAAATTAAAGTTCAGAAATCAAAGTCTGATCATGCGGATGAGTTTATAAAGTGTATGTCGTCTGGGTACCAAATCATCTCACGTGACTTCTTCTGAAGAAGCGGTGACAAGCTTGCTTGCATTTTTCACATGAAACTGAGCAGAACTCAGAGCCACAGTAAAGCAAAACATACGGAACGAAGTTGGGAAACACGTGAAAATACTGATTTGCAATTACTGTCAGAATAGGATTCAGATGGTGGCTTTGGACGTCTGCCTGACATCAGAATTTAAAAAAAAAAAACAAACCAGCAAAGGAAAGCAGTCCAGAAATCACAAGCCTCCGGAGCACGTGGTTGGGAAGCTCGTTATCGAGAGCTCTAAGGGCACGGCGACATCACCAGGACTGAAGTCTTCCTCCTCCTGTAGTTTTCATTTTCTACCTGCCTGCTGAAGGGCAGGGGTCATAGGATGGAGGCAATCTTCTGGATTACATCTTCCACCGGGTCCTGGGGGTCCCTGAGGCCCTGGGGCACCAGGTGAGCCTGGCAAACCCACTGCTAAAGACATGAAAATACACCATGAGAATGCAGGTCACATGGGATCCTGCCTGCCTCCCTCTCTCCGACCACCACGGGTCATTCAACCCAACAGGTGAGGTCCACAGGGGAGAAGAGGGCTATTTTGAGAGGCCTGCATTTGTCAAGATAATAAGCCTATTACCTGAAGATCCAGGAAGACCTGGACTCCCTGGCAGCCCAATTCCAGGTTCTCCTCTTTCTCCCTTCTGTCCTCGGTAGCCTGAGTGAGAGAAATAAAGAGAGAGAAGAAGAGTATGCAGCATGCACTAACATGTACATGATAGTACTGTTTTCTGAGTCCCCCAGAGCTGAGGACTGAACCCAAGGCCTTGAGCTTGCCAGAAAAGTGCTCTACCACTGAGCTCAAACAGCTGTGTGTGCTGTTTCCTCACTCTTCAGACATAAATATTCATTTCATATTTGTCATGCGTTAAACATAAATGTTAGGTTGAGTACAATAAAGTATGTAGGATCTGATAACCATGCAGCTAATATACAAAGTTAAAGTAAACCAAGCTTTTGATAGTGAGATTTATTTAAAAAAAAAAAAAAGGCCTGGTGGTGGTGGTGCATGCCTTTAATCCCAGCACTTGGGAAGGAGAGGCAGGTGGATCTCTGTGAGTTCAAGGTCAGCCTGGTCTACAAATAATAATAATGATGATGATAATAATAATAATAATAATAATAATAATAAATCTCTAATAACACATTGACAGTACTTTGGGGACTTTTCAATCTCTTATATTCTAGCATTGTTAAAATTTCTGGTCCTTTCCATTTATAAACTGTCATAGTAAAGCATTTTGTGTTGTTGTCTTAACTGATTTGACTCAAATTTGTATTCTACCAATCTCCTTTTATTTCAGTTAATTATTATTGATTATTTATTTCATTTAATAAAGTCTGTATTCTTATGCTATCTTGTTCTCATACAAAACAGAATTCTTTCTGTATACATCTTTCCTATTTCCTGTACCTAGATTCCCACCAGAATTTCTGTTGAAGAGGGCTCACACACTTATCATAAACATAGAAGAGAAGATATGGACAATGCATTTAAGTATTACCTATAGTGCCAAAAATCTCACTCTCAAAAGCTTGGTTTGTTGGAACTTTTTATATCAGCTGTGTGTTTGTAAGAGCCTCCATGCTTTATTGTACCAACTTGGTACATACGTTTAATGTATGATAAATGTGAAATGGAAATTAATACATGATGACTGAAGCAGCAGCACACACAGCATGAACTCAGAAAATAGTTTTGGCTTCTGAGGGTGTTGCACTCATATGGACACACACACACACACACACACACACACACACACACACACTCAGTTTCCCTGGTTCTGGTTCGCTAACTGACCGCGAAGCCCTTCAGTCATTTCTACTTACAATCTTGTCCTCTTATTTCTAAAGGTCTCCATTGCTAATGGTTTTGATAGGTCAGAACTATCCTAGGGCTAACAACTATCCTATATGGGCCACTGGATTAAAAACAGGGGGGAAAAAAGGTTTTCCTTGATTTAGAAGCTAATGATACCCAAACTTTAAAAGCTCAAAAAGAAGAGCAGTGATTCCCAGTATTGTCCTCTTAAAATTGGTGGGGGTGGGTATGTAGACTAGATCCTCCTTCTCCCCCTCTTCTTCCTCCTCCTCGTTATCTTCCAGTAACTCTACATGTGAGGTTCTTTCTGAAATGAGAGAGGCATTTAAGTGTGCCAACCCATTTCTCAAGGTTTTAACTAACTCCTCTTTTTGAAAATATCAACAACATTTTGTAAAAATTTTTCCGCAAAAGCTCACCCAAGAAGGTGAGTTTTGTTAGGAAAGTTTGTCGTCATTTATTTAGAAGAACTCTGCTGGATTAGGCTTTTCAGGTCCATTGCTCTTGAGCTGTGGCAATTGGGCCCTGTGTTACAGACCCCTTCCAGGACTGACAGAACACTGAGCAATGTTTTCTCCATGCACAGTGGGAAGGCGACATCCACAGCTCTGCAGAAGGGCTAAAAAAAATAACTCTATAGAAGTGCTTTTGACTTTAACAAGACATCAGTCATTCCCCCCTTGGGAGTCTCAGAGGACACAAACAAAATGGCTGCCTTCAGAATCTTCCGTAATAAGCATTCACTGTCCTTTAAGAAGTCTGGGTGACTGGAAGAACATCCACGGGTTTTCATTAGTAAGTCTTCATAGGAGAATGGCCTCCCCTGGGCACATTTCTGATGGCCTCATATCAGTTTCCTCCTTGCTTCTACAGTACCCTACTTTGCAGAATAAGCACAGGACACTTTACAAGGTCTTTGTTTTTTTTTTTTTTTAAATCCTTCACTAAACATATGAAGATAATGAAGGTGATAAAAGGACCCCTTTCGTGGTGCATATTTCAAATTAATTTACGTTAAAAGTGCTTTCTTTGCTGACAAGTACTGTTAAGAACTCATATGTCCTTTAGGCATTTCTTAAGAGTGAGCCACCCATCGACAGAATTCCAAGTGGCCAGTGCATGCTGAGACATCACTCAGCAGACACATTTCCTGTCCCTTTCTGCACTTCACCCTTTTGTCAACCTCTGTCCTCACAATGAAGAGGGCTAGTCCAGCAACAGCATTAAAGGCTGGCCTGGCTGTTTTTGTCCTGCCTTTTAAGTTGAATAAGAAGAACATTGAAGGCATATACGTGGCTTCATCCTCCGAGAACCTCGTATTTACTTGTTACCAGATTTCTAATGCCACTCAGAGAAGCAGCAAACACCAGACAGTGGTTGCTACCTTCTCATCTGTTTTTCCTCCCCCTCCTCCTCCCTCTCCCCTTCTTTCTCTTCTTCCATGAGATTTCTTTGTAGCTTTTAGGGTCATCAGTACAGTATGGCTATCAGAAAAAAATCGTTTAAAACAAATCTCATTTTCTTTTGCAAACTTTATTTTTCTGCTGAATTTCAGGCAAACTTAACATTACAAAGAGTTGAAGTGTCAATCAACAGCTTACAGTCAAGCTATATTCACTGTCAGAAGCCCCATGAGGGAAACAAAAGCAGATGCATCAACTTCTAAGTGTGTTTGTTGTCAGAAACTCTGGTGGGACAGAAGTTTTGTCCATTTTTGTAGAACTTGTCTTAAAGAAAACTGGAAATCATGTGGGGAATTCCTTCAAACTCAAGAGGCACACTTCAGATCTCTATTAGAAATCGTAGTCTGATGTACACACAGCAGCAGGCTAAACCCACAGACATCTCTTGCATAAAGGAAGATCCTCATCTTTTGATCAGTTGGCTACGTAGTGAATATGAGTCTTGTTTTCAGAAACCTCACTAACACCGTTGACTTAGAGTTGCCTCTCACTGAGACCCTTCCAGACTGGCTTCCCATCACCTGGGAAGGTGCCTGGAGCTGTGGGCATGTGTTAGAAAGGTGACTGTAGTCGGGACTGTTTTACTAGGTCACTGTACTGTATTTTCCATCTTGTGTGTTCTCTTGGACTACAAAGGTTTGAAGGATCCATCCAAAAATTTCTACTGCTCTCCACTGGACTTATTCTTCATGTGGTTTGAGTATCACATGCTCAGGTGGCATTTAAAGGTCTTTCCAGCTCTCATACACTCTGACTTTAGAAGAGACTCAATGAATAAAAGATAATAACCACCCTATAAAAGTGTATATGACCAGAAGGCTGCCTCTGAGTCTACATATTTCCCTTTTCTTCAACTATGAGTCAAACCTCCTGACCTAAGATAAATGGAAGATGGATATTTAAGAAAACTACAGTGATTTTGAAACTGAGCGGAGAGGCCAAATCTTATGCTAATTTCCCATTTAACTTCACGTGACTCATGTCTTTCACAACAGTCAGGCGTAGTAGGTTTTCTTTTACCATGAGTTTGGAGGTCAGCAAGAGGGTTTCATGGCAGCTATTCCCTCTGGGCTGTCTGTTGTGGAATGGAAGTATACCCGGCAGCCTCATTAGTGACAAGAACAACCAGAGGGAAGTATTGATCTTTGCAGAAGAGTGAAGCATCTGTGCTCAGGTGGCTAAGACTGGATATTAAGCCACGAGCACACATCTATATCTGTGCAAAAGTTCTGATCAGTCTTCAATAATCAGTCTGTGAGAACATCCCCACAGTCAGGCTCCTTACAGCATGGCCCATTGGGATGACGTGGCTCTCACCCTCTGATCAGCTAGCTCAGCCTATGGGTCTTTATCTACTGCCTTGCCTTTGGTCTAACTGGCCTTTCTCTTGAGGCTCCCACCACGGCAGGCTCACCGTGACTCAGACTAGCAATCTCCTTCCTTGCTAAGCCTTCAGTAGCCGACAGTGCCTCATGCCTTGGAAACAGTTTCTCCTGCTCCCCATCTCCGTGCTGACTGCATCCAAATGCTCAGAGACAACTGCCTCCAGTAAGCCAAGGGATTCAAGCTGAAGTGTCTATGGGTACGCTACCAAGCCCCGCATTTCCTCCACAGGCTAGCAGAGCATTGTGGCTGGGTGGGGGCGCCATTATAGACTTCAGCCAGAATCTGGCAACAAGCTCCCTAATGTCTGGGGTCCATCTTCTTCATGAAGTGGGGCCTTGTGGCTAATTCTGAGAACGGTTTTACCAGTGTCTGCTGTTCTGTCCCTGCTGTGTACAGGAATTGGGAACGTGGGAATGTGGGAATGTGGGAATGTGGGAATGTGGAAATGTGGGAATATGGGCTGTACCGTCTGTCCTCAAGTGGAGCCCATGCACAGATGGTAATTAAAAATGGATTCTGGAGTAGAATTTGATTCAACTCCAGCAAGGTAAACTTCCCAGAATGCTTAGGAAGAACTCTGGTAGTAGCTGAGGTGCCTAGGGCTACAGTTTCTCTAATCTTGCTTCTCACGGTTCATATTTATTAAATCTGGCATTTCTCTGTCAGAATTCATGGATCATCTGAGTGCAGACCTATCTAAGTCAGTTCGCAGACTGCTAACCATATTTTTACAGAATAGTTGTGTCAGAATAACTTAAGCAAAATTGAAGAGCATTTGTCCTTGCAAGTTGTCATCAGTGGGACACTATTTTTTTTTTTTTTGCAACATAAGTTTGTCTTTAAAGACTTGAGAAGTCATACAAAGTATCTTTTAAAGTTCAAAAGTTATCATAATTACCCAAGATCAAGCTATCCAAAGATTGTGGCAGAGATGGAGTGGATGACCTCCAGGCCCTACCCCTTATTGGGAACTATTGGCAGTGGCTAGCTGCTGGGGATGGAGTACTCATTCGCAGTGGAGGGTGTGGCCACTGATAGTCTTACATGTCCCAGAGGAAGGCTCTATATCTGGGTAACACTAACGGGACATAATGAGTTATTTTGAAAAAAAAGATAGGAATTTGGGGGTGATGTTGAGGGGCCATGGGGATACTTGGATGGGGAAATGGGGAGAGGATATCATTATATTTCACTGTATACATTTATGAACTTCTCAGAAATGAATACAAATGAAAAGAAGATTATGTCTATACTTTCGAAGTTATCATCTGTAATCTAATCTACAATCACTCTAAACTCCCCACAATTAGGTGTTAGCTCCAAATGACTGTTTGTAGCAGAATCTCCTGACTCTGTCTTCGGTTTAAGATTCTCTGAAGAGGACACTTGCCTGACAGTGAGAGGGGACAGAAACAACCTTAGGATTCCTATATAACAATGAGAGAGCAGTGGACAGCATTGAACTTATTGTCAGACTGGATATTATTAAAATGAACTTAGAGTAGCAGGCATATCAGTTTTAAATTTGAAGTAGTAATAATATTTATCACTAGAAAATAAAATATGAACAAGATAGTTCATAACAAGTCATTTTATACATACCACACATATACATTTTAATGACAATTAGCATGTTATAAATATTGAGGATTAAAAATCTGGCAAGCACAATATTACACTTGCAGTCCTACCTTGGGGTCCTGGGTCTCCTGGGGGTCCGGGTAACCCGTCCTTCCCTGGTGGGCCAGGCCTTCCATGAGCATGAGCAGACAACATGGCTGCTGGCAGCTTAAGCTGGGATAGAAACCCAGCCATCCTCTCTTCATTTAGGAAAGAAAGAGATACATCATGTGACGGAAGGGTCTTTATGTCCAAGTATTTTCCAACATTTTTATAAGAAGTTGAAAGAAATTCAATTACTGATTTAAGCACATATAAGATACCAAGGTCTGACTGCTGTGTTTTTGATAGAGCATAGAATCAATTGCATGAACTTGTTTAAAGACAGAAGGAGGGCAGCTGGGTTGCTCAGAGTGTCTAGAAATTACTAGTGTTCCTGGAACCCAGCAGTGGAGTGGCCAGAACACTTGTCTAACTAACTTGGTTATGCCTTGTGGAGAAAACTTTGGTTCACTGTTTTCAGAATAAATGTGAGGCACTTTCTAGCCATGTGTTGAATGTGCAGCCATTTGACATCTATTCACATATTCTTTTTTTGAGGGTTTTTTTTTTTTTTTGAGATAGGGTTTCTCCATGTAGTTTTGGTGCTTGTCCTGGATCTCACTCTGTAGACCAGGCTGGCCTCGAACTCACAGAGATCTGCCTGCCCCTGCCCCCCGAGTGCTGGGATTAAAGGCGTGTGCCACCACCGCCCGGCTTCTATTCTCATATTCTTTAGCAACCCCTTCTGTGGTTAGAACCCAATCCCTGTGTTTTGAGTCATGACTGGATTGACTTTTCTTATGAAAAGAAAAAGCAAAAGCAGAATGGACAACGAGTAACCAGAAAGAATTGTTTATAAAAGAGCTTTGCAGTTGCTGCTGGGTTGCTCACCCTGGAGGAAGTCTGTTGACACAGAATGCGCACTGAGATCACTCATGTGATATTGCCCTGTGACAGTTCTGTTAGTGAATTTGGAGGTGTCCACCTTCCCTGGCAAGTATTAAAATGATAGGACCCACAGCTGACCGAAGTCCTATCTGTGACCTTACTCCAGATTTAGTGGGAGAGCAATATGACTACACAACCCTTCGAGTTATGGACCCACAGGTCATGTGAACTAATGGATATATACTCTTCCAATTCACTAACATTTACAGAACTTATATTTTCTTACATGATGACAGATGACTCATGTTGTAGGTAACTTAAACAACACTGCTGTGGGATGTTCTGTATGCCAAATGTTTTGCTCTGATTGGTCAGTAAATAAAACACTGATTGGCCAGTAGTCAGGCAGGAGGAAGTATAGGTGGGACAAGGAGGAGAAGAATTCTGGGAAGTGGAAGGCTGAGTCAGAGAGACACTGCCAGCTGCCGCCATGACAAACAGCATGTGAAGATGCCGGTAAGCCACGAGCCATGTGGCAAGGTATAGATTTTTAGAAATGGATTAATTCAAGATATAAGAACAGTTAACAAGAAGCCTGCAAACAGTCATACAGTTTGTAAGCAATGTAAGTCTCTGTGTTTACTTGGTTGGGTCTGAGCAGCTGTGGGACTGGCGGGTGTCAGAGATTTGTCCTGACTGTGGGCCAGGAAGAAAAACTCTAGCTACACAACACTGCATTTTCAGCAGGGACATTTAGTTACTGAAAAACTGTCACAGGCTTCATTTCACCATTTAAGCTCTAGAGTAGGCAAAAATGTCACAAGTAACTTTTACTTTTTAAGGAAGGAAGCCCATGTTACCCTCATTATTATGCATTTTCTGGTTGTATCTGGAGTTAGTGAGTCATTTGTTCAATCAGGTTGGTAGGAGGAAGGATATCTAATTTTGTAAAAGGAAAACACATTCAGCGTTGCTGCAGATGAGAAGCCTCTCTCTAAATTCCAGTGGCAGCAGTAAAAACATAAAACATGTTTCTGCGTGTCTCTGTGAGCCTAAGAAACACTAGAACAGAGAACGCAAATTACAGGCAATGAACACATTGTCCATGCCATTCAGAAAAACAGGTAAATACATTTAATATTTTTGTTAAGCACTGAGGGATACATCTTTGTGAATTAAGTACCCCTAACACAAGATGCTTTCCCAAGGGGCACATCATAGGCATGGCCATTTATTCATTTTATAGACTCCTTGGAGCACAATACTTTGTCTATGGGTCCTGAAGAAAGTGCCCATTGATGACATAGAGCATTAACTGAACAGACCCTCTCAGGGGCTCATCATCAGCTCATGAAAGCACCTTTAGAGTTGGTCCAGTGGACGTAACGACTAAGTCTTAGACAGTTACTATGTCGTGATTCTCTGAGATGAAAGCAAGTACACAATGCTGAAAGTTAACATGTTGGGGCCAGGAAGATGAATCAGTTGGCACTCTTGTAAAAGCTGTGAAGGTTTGAGGTCAGAGACAGGAAGAACACTTGGACTTCTAGCAATCAACCTAGTCGAGAGAGCAAAATCTAGGTTCAGTGAAAGAGCATGTCATAGGGAATAAGATGGAGGGCGGTAGAGAAAGACATTTGACATCCTCTGTGGCTTTTGTACATGTATTTGGTCACATGGGGCAAACTCCAGCCAACCAGTTCCTGCCCTGCACATAGATATAGGACCCCTCCCCCTCCATACACAAGAAGAAACAAGAAAATCGATGTGTTAATGAAACTTAAAGAATCATAAGTGTGAAAAGATGCATAAGAATTTTTGATTTAAAATTAACTTCTGAACAAGTATATTATTAACTAAGTTAGCCTAGCATTCTTTAAGTCATAGTTCTTTGATTCAGGGTCTCGTGCAGTCCAGGCTAGCCTTGAAATCCTGGGCTTCCAGCTGTGACTCGACCACACCTGGCTAACCATTCCCTGTAGCAGGACTTTGCATTAGTGAGTGTGGACTTTGTCACCAATTACTCTTGTCCTGGAATTATGGAATTCAGTCATTTAAACTGACCATTTGAGTAAGAACTGTTATCATGTTTTTATTGGACACATATATTATAAAGGATATTTCTAATCTGGCGTCTCAAACTATTCCAAAACAGTTGAGCATCTTCAGCTCAGTCTGAGACACCAGACAAGAAATCTGTCAACTAATGCAAGACATTTCTTGTCACTATTGAGTCATTTGTTATTAATTTCACATGGAGCATCGTTCAGTTAAATTTTATCTCAAGAGCATACTCAGTGTTTTAGTCTGGAATTCATTTTGAGAAAATCACGAATTCACTTCATAAATAAAATCTGCCACTGGACTCCTTAAACTTGTTTTGCTTATATTTTATATATTGACACTGTAAAAATCTAATAAATGGGTGACTAATTTTTGAAATAAAAAACTAGAAGAAGGTACAGTCTTGCCATGATAAGAAGAAATGTTAATGTTTCTCCTCACCACACAATTTATTAAAAAACAAACATGCCGGGCGGTGGTGGCGCACGCCTTTAATCCCAGCACTCGGGAGGCAGAGCCAGGCGGATCTCTGTGAGTTCGAGGCCAGCCTGGGCTACCAAGTGAGTCCCAGTAAAGGCGCAAAGCTACACAGAGAAACCCTGTCTCGAAAAACCAAAAAAAAAAAAAAAAAAAAAAAAAAAAAAAAAAAAAAAAAAACCAAAAACAAACAAACAAATTATCTTAGTGATTCAAATGATTTCGTTTGTGAGGCTCACTTTCGGCTGAGATAGCTCAGCTTGGAAAAGTGCTTGGCACTAACCCTGGCTGCTTGAGTCCAGTCCCTGAGACCCACATGATAGGAGAGCCCAGACTCCTACAAATTTCCCTCTGGCCTCCACACATGCACACATGCACCAACACACATAGGTGTGCATATGAACACACACACCAATAAATAATTGTTGTGAAACATGTTTACTACCTTTAATGCCTAGACAGAAATATTTGCCACTCTAATTTATTCTCTTTAACATATGAAGTAAATTTACAAGTACTTTGTTTTGGGAGGTTTTTTTTTTAAATATAATTTTAGCAGAACACAATTATTTTAAACAATTACTTCTAGCTGTAAATGAACTGGCTTTCAGCTACACTAAGAAACAGTCATTTAGCATAAGCTAATTGCCTCTTCTGAACCCTGCCCTAATGTTCTATAATTGAAACTAATAGTTTCTTAGAATCTGAATGAATTGAGAAGGCCTGTATTTTTAATTGCCTTCCCTTGGTTTTCAGGGCTCCTTAGTCATTTAAACTGTTTTTTGCCTCTGCTTTCTAATGAGGCAGAAAATTAAAGACTTTAGAAGAGGTGTACATAAACCATTCACATTCCCCCTGCCTGGGCAGAACAAGAGCCAGCAGTCACAAGGGCCACGGGTCTGATAGACCAGACTGAGGGCTCAGCTTCCTTGGAGAAAGAAGTCCCAGTGACAATGCAGACATTAACATTAATTGAAGAAGTAAGGGACATTCAGGTGTCACCCAGTCCTCACCTGCCTTTTGTTTCACAAATAGAATTTGTAGCTTATTTTTTTCAGAGAAAAATGAATCTTTTTTCCTAACGCCCATTCACATGTTGAACTGCCCACTTTCTTAATATAACCTCATCTTATTTTCTTTTCATACTCCATTACAGAAGCATTAGTTACCTGCTGGATTAAGGGAAGTCCCCATTACTTGATAGTATTGTTATCTTTTAGCCTTAAGGTTAAAGAATTTTCATTCACAGGATTACTAATCTGTTCTGGAAATCACTTTTTGCATCATTTTCCATGGCATTCCTACATGTCTTTTAATCACGGAAACTAAAATTACATGTAGGTTTTTTTTCCTATGGGGCAATGCAACAATAATCTCTTGTGATATCTGAATTATTTCCCAGTTTCATTTTAATTGTTATTACTTATTATGGACTCATTTATTTTGTAATTCGTAATACTATATTTGTTCACAGTCTTTGTAAAGCACATTGCTTTGAAATATTGTCATGGGTAAAGACAGTGGACTGAACACATGCATGTGCTTTAAGTCTCCTGTGGATGCTCGAAAAACAATGAAGATATTTTCAAAGTCATAAAACTCAAGAATGAAGAGACTCTAAAGGACAAATGTAGCAACAGAATTTGGAAGCTGAGGTCAGATAGCTGAGGGATATTTCTCTTGGAAAAAATCAAGAAAACTGAGACTTTATACTGAGAATAGAAACCCA